TGCTCCTGCAAAGCAGGCCACCATTCTTAGGATCCTCTGAGGCAAGCTAACTATAGAATCAGGGTGAAGTTGCTTACAAGTATAATTTTGAATCTCGGTGAAAGAGCATTTACTTTTTCAATTCAATTCTTCCTACTGCAATAGAGCGTTCATTTGCCTAATGAAAAAATAACTAACTAAAATGTATGGAAACTAAAACTAAAATGCATGAAAAAATGCATTTTTCTGGTGTTTTCCTATCCCTTTATGTATGAAACACCCTTTTTCTGTGTATCTATAAAACAAAAGCATCCTTTCTCAGATACTTTCTTGGTTGTCATTTCTACTGTAGAGATTTAAGCAAGTTACTCAGTGTGGGAGCTAGGTGTATTGTCTGCAACTTTAAGTTCTTCTAAGCATTAAAACCTGTGTATAGTATGAATTGGAGTAGTGGTGCTAACATCTGAAATTGAATTTTGAACATAATGAATGTAAAATATATTTTGAATAGACTTATTATTTTACAAGCTCAGAGTAAAAGTATGCCACTGTTTATACAAAACTACATCATATCAAAGGTTGTGTAACCATTAAGTTGAATTTTGAGAAAAGGCTTTATTTGGTTTTATGTACCAAAAGAATGGCATTCAAGGAGGTTGCATGGGAGCCTCCATGCAGGACCTGACTTCTAATGTTTTAGGTTTCAAGATTATCTGTTATCAAATTGATTGAAGCCTTTTTATTTTCCAAGCAGATATCTAAAAGGAACTAAGTTTCTGCATAATGGTTTCTGAAGAGTTATGTGTCTGGTCACACTAGTTTAACATTTTACAGAGCAACAGAACACAGCTATTATAATATGTAGGGTATGTATATTGCTAAGGCCTCAATGCACTTAATAGTAAATATAAAAAACTAATATAAGTTTCATCAAACAGTAAACAGAAAATAAAAATATTTGGAAGTGACCACTTCTAGTTTTGGGCAGGGCAGCAGTACTCTACAAACTCTACAATTTCTCCCCCAAAACCAGTATTTTACAAAACCTCAATTGCTGCCAATTGAAGCTTTTAATAAGCTTGACTATAGCGGGGAAAGATAATATGAGTTAATATGGTTTTGATAGTCAGTTTGTGGTCATGTGCCAGTAGTGAATTGACCCTGCCCACTTTTATTTATTTCATTTTTATACTGCCCAATAGCAGAGCCTCTCTGGGAAGTTAACAAAAGTTTGAAACACACAAACAAGAGAGAAAAAAATTAACACAAGGCAATAAAACTATGGCAATTGCAACCAGATCAGCACAGAGGTACAGGATAAAATGCAACATTAAAATTAAAGTTAAAAAGTTTATTGTTAAAAGATTGGGGAAATAAAACTGTTTTCATCTGACACCAAAAAGAATACAGAGTAGGCACCAGGTGCACCTCTTTGGGAAGCTCATTTCATAGCTGGGATGCCACAGCCAAAAAGGCCCTTCTCCTTATAGATACCCTCTTTACTTCCTTTGGAGGGGGCTTCCAGAGAAGAACCACCAAAGATAGGGTTCGGGTAGGTACATATGGGACAAAGCATTCCTTCAGATAACTTGGTCCCAAGTCATTTAGGGCTTTGAATGTTAATACTAGCACATTGAATTGGGCTAAAACTTCAACTGGTAGCTACTATAACTAGAAGAGGACTGGTGTAATGTGTTCTCATAATCATTTCCCCATTAACAATCATTTCGCCGAGGCTATGCGATGGGACGGCATACAAATGCTCTAAACAAACAAACAAATAAGAACCTTGGTACCCTGTTTTGGATCAGTTTAAATCTCCAGACCATTTTTAATGGCAGACCCATGTACAGTGCATTGCAGTAATTCAAACGAGAGGTTACCAGAGCGTGGATTAGTATAGCTAGGCTCTATCCAGGTAGAGTCATAGTTGATATATCAGCCTAAGTTGATAAAAGAGGCTCCATGCCACCGAGTCTATTTGTGACTCAAGTGACAGTTCTGAATCCAGGACCGTCCCCCAAACTATGAAACTTGTCCTTTAGGGGGACTGCAACTGCATCCAGATCTAACTGAATATCACTCAACTAAATGGATAAAACACCCATGAACCACCCTCTGTCTTGTCTGGATTGAGTCACAGTTTGTTGGTTCTCATCCAATCCATTATGATGCTCTGACACTGATTGAGAACAGCCACTGCCTCACCTGGGTTTGATGAAAAAGAGTGAGAGAACTGAGTGTGATCTGCATGTTGATGGTACCTCAGCATACCTCCAGATAACTGCCCCCTGTGGTTTCATGTAGATGTTAAATAACACAGGGTATTAAAATGAACCCTGTGGTACCCCATGGCATAACTGATATGACTCTGAACAATAATCCTCCAGCACCAGCTCCTGGAATCAGCCAATTAAGGAGAAACAGAACCTCTGCAATGTGGTGTCTCCTCCTCCTAGTCCAACCAGCCTATCCAGAAGGATAGCATGGTTGATGGTATTGAAAACTTCCAAAAGTTCCAGGAGAATCAACAGAGTCTTAGTCTGGCAAAAGCTAAGGGTGGGCAAGGTAGTTTTCATTCCAAAACCAGGTCTGAAGCCTGATTGAAATGAATGTAGATAATCTTTTTCATTCAAGAGGGCCTGGAGCTGTTCAGACTCCATCTGCTTAAGCATCTTGCCCAGGAAGAGAATGTTGGCCACTGGGCCTATAATTGTTAACATCCTCTGGGTCCAGGTTAGACTTCTTCAGGAGTTTACAAGCTCTTGTAAAGAGGCTGGCACCATTCCCTCTATCAAAAGGGGGTTTACAGCCTCCTGGAGCCAAGTACAAATCCTTTCCTTAATTCTTGTAATAAGGCATGACAGACAAGGGTTGAGCACACATATCATGGGTCAGAGTTGACCAAGCATCTTGTTCTCATCCTCAGGCCTCAATAACTAAAGCTCATCCAATAAAATGGGATCAGATGGTGCTCTACATGCCTCTGTTGGTGGAACTGCATTAATTGCGGAGTCCAGTTCATGACAAATCCAAGCAGCTTTATCTTCAAATGCTATGTAAATTCATCACAGCATGCTACTGAGGGCTCCACAATGTCTTTCTCTGGCCTAGAGACCAGTGGGCCACAAACCACTCTGAAGAGATGCATTGCTGGTGGAAAATAGCTGCCTCTTTGCCACCCTTATCACCACACTCATGTTTGATCAGACTCAGCCCAAGTTTTCCTCTACCTGCACACTAGCTGTCTCCCTTCTTGCTTCATTGCCCTCAACTCACTTGTGTACTATGGAGCTGACTGGACTCTTCTGAAAGGAAGAGGATGCTTGGGTGTGACAATGTCAACTGCCTGAGCCACCTCTGTATTCCACAGAGCGACCTTGGCTTCAACAGGAACGCCAGCCATACCAGCTGGAAACTCCCCCAGAGCCCTCTGGAAACCATCAGGATTCATTAGCCTCTGCGGGTGGACTATTTTAAAAGGTCCTCTACCCTTGGAGAGGTGAAGGGAAGCCAAAAGTCTAAACCTTAGTAGGGAGTGATCTGACAATGATGAGGGAGTTGATGATAATTCTCCCACTTCCAGATCAGTAGCCTCCTGCCCACTTGAGAAAACCAGATCAAAAGTATGTCCTTTTACATGTGTTGGGTCAGTAGCGTGTTGAAACAGGCCTGTGGTTGTCATGGCAGACCTGAAGTTCTGAGCTACACCAGGTAAAGCAGTCTCAGAGTTAAGATCCTTTAGAACCATCATGCTAGGGGTTCTCAACAACAGGTCTGAGACCACCTCCATCAGCTCAGACAGGAAATCTGATGGGCAGTGGGGTGAGTGGTACACTGACAGAATCCCTAATTTGTCTTGAGCTCCCAGCACAAGCAAGTGTACGGGAAGTATAGAGAGGAAGATCGTATTCCCATAGACCACAGCCACTCTCCCTTCCTGGCCCTTGAGTATGCTGTTCTGAGTACCGCAAGGGGGCACAGTTGTGAGAGAGTAATCACTTCCAGTTCACTCACCCAGGTCTTAATGATGCAAGTCAAGTCATAAATGAAAGTAGACTTACTTTCACCAACCTGCCATTCAGCACCAGACCCGGAGGCAAGCTAGTAAGACTGCCAGAAATCATCTGGTTGGAGAAAGAACCAAAGGAGGGGATAGCTTTAAGATATCTAGCCCCTCTTCTGCTCAGCTGGCTTGTTTATCTTCCAATGCAATACCTCACCCTACCTGTGACCACAATGATGGAACATTCCTTTGCTCCCCAAAGTTACCCAGAAATATAATTAAACTGGGTATGATCAAAACAATAAAAACACTGAAAGAAACTGGCTGCTACACCTCTAAGCTGATCAATTGCAACTGCTGTGAGCCTGTCCTCTTCCCCACCAAGGCCCAGCACTCAAGCAGTCATCAAACAGGCATCAAACAAGTAATGCCACTTTTGGGTGGAGCCCTGCCCATTGCTGGCATGTGGCTTCTGATGTGCATGCCCTACAGTTTTTCAGTAGCTTGATAATTCCTTGCATTTTCAGAAATAATCCAATGTAATATATACAGCTGTCATTACCTTCTACTGTCCCCTTCCCACAAAAAAACAAACAAAAAACAGTATAAGCACATTTCCATAAGTATAGAAGGTATTATATTGCAAATGCAGAAGATTTAAGGATCCCCTTAGAGTGAACTTGAAAAAAACAATTTTCCAGATGGTAATATGATTTAATTGCTGTGTGCTAGCAATTAACTGTCAATGAATGTAAAACTCTCTGTAAAAGTAGCCACAGCCTTGAACTCAGAAGAGCTGAGCGGGGCTATCATAGATAGGATCTCTGTAAGTCTGAGGCCACTTGACAGCACATAACAACACCTCCCTCCAGGAAAACACATTTTAATTTGATTGTTTCTCTTTATGTTTTGTTGCAGAAAATGTATGGGAAATAATGTCAATAATAATTTTATTGAAATTCTGATTGAAATATGAAAACTCTAGATTTAAATTTTGCATTTTTGTTCTGAGCAGATTAATGTGAGAGTTACTACAATGGATGCAGAACTGGAGTTTGCAATCCAGCCCAACACAACGGGAAAACAGCTTTTCGATCAGGTAACCTTTTTATAATGGCCACTTCAGATATAGCAAGCAATGGTTTGTTAGAACAATGAACAAGTATGGACTTTGGACACATGTTCTCCTTCCTCCTTTATGCAGGAGGGGAAAACCTTTTAATAGCAATCTACCAACAAATCACAATTTTTGGTTTTGTCTAAAAACAAGAAAATGGGGCTTCATCAAACCATAATCTGTTCACAGAATCTTCTTAAGCAAGACTATCCCACCAGAAACTGTAGCTTGCCCTGCACAATCTAAAACATGAAACGAGTACATGGAAAGTTGCATAGGCCAAAGGCTCATATTCGTTTGTCCTTATGATGTCTGTAGTTTGTCTTTGCCTCTTAATCACTGCTATAGTAACCACTGTGCTGTAATATTGCAAATAGAACTATGTTAAAGCACCTGCTACATTTTTAAAAATTTAGAAAATTTTAGAACATTTAAAATCTAAATGTTAAGTGTGGGAAGCATCCTGAGAGAATCTTTGGCCCAAGCCATAATAATCCGTTTTGGGGGACTATAGTATTTTGCTGGCTGAGATGTATTTTGTAATTTGGTAACAATTTTTCAGTAGTGGTTTATATTAACTCGAAGTTTCAGAAAGCAAGATTTGGAAAACAGCCTGATTTGGCTTGGATGTCTTTGGAAAAATGCTTACTACAGCTTGTAAACAGATACAGTGGTACCTTGGCTCACAAACTTAATCCGTTCCAGGACTCTGGTCGTGACCCAAATTGGTTGTGAGCCAAGTTAAATTTCCCCATAAGATTCAATGTAAATAAGGTTAATCTGTTCTGTAACCATTTTTTAAATCAGAAAAATGTGAAGCAAAGTGACAACAACAGAGTTCACGGTCATCTCCTCACCCCTTCCTGAGCACAAGCGCGGCCATCTCCCATCCCCTCCCCCAGCACAACTGAGATCGTGCCTGTCATCCCAGCAGGTGCCCGTTACCACGGCATGTGCCCATCATCCTGGCGCACTGGGGGATAGGGGAGAGACGGGCGCGATCGCAGGTGCACTGGGGAAGGATGAGACAGGTGCAAACAGCACGCTGGGGGATGGAGAGACGGGCGCAAATGGGACTCGCTGGAGCAGGGAGAGATGGGCGCGATCATGCTGGTTGGTGGGGGGGAATGGCCAAGATTGCACCCATCTTTCCTGCAGGAGTGCACCTGTGATCGCGCATGCCTTCCCTGCACGAAAGCAACTGCGATCGTGGCCACTTCCCCACCCCAAATGGGGAGATGGCCACGATCGCAGTTCCGTTCGTGCAGGGAAGATGTGCGTGATCATGGGTGCGCTGCTGCAGAAAAGATGGGCACAGCACAACTGCGGGGGAGATGGCCGAGATTGCGCCCATCCTTCCTGCAGGAGTGCGCCCGTGATCATGCACGTCTTCCCTGCACGAACAGAACTGTGATCGTGACCATCTCCCCACTCGGGGGGTGGGGGAGGTGGCCACGATCTTGGTCACCACCCAATGCGGAGTTCGCGACCCAAGTCAAAATTTTAATGAACTTTTTGTTCATGACCCAATTTGTTCGTGGCGTTCATGAGCCAAGGTACCACTGTATTTATCTTCTTGTTGGAAATCCAAATGTTCACATCTCCTATTGACTGTAATTGGAAATTAATTTTTTTATATAACTTTTTTCTTTTGGAAGTGGGCGGCATTTACAGGCATAGTATCATGCAAATAGGGAAATAATAGGTGCAAAAGTTTTTGTGTGAAATACTTCACAATTCTATATTTTAAAATGGAACCATCGGTGACTTTCATGGCAGATTTGGATGAAAATTGCAGGGATAGTTGCTCCCTGGCTTTATTAGGACAGGGTTATTAATAGGAAATCTGTTGTGCATATTTAAACATGGGATGTTGTTACTTGTAAAGTGGCTTGTCACTATGTTATTACTTGCCCTACAACAGCCTTCCTCAGTCTGGTACCATTCAGACATTTTGAACCAACTCCTGTCAGCAACAGCCAGCACTGTCAGGCCAGTGGCCAGGAATGCTGAGGATTCTTATCTAACATAGTGCAGCCTTAATACTGCTCTCTTTTGTTGCATTTAAAACTTCCCGAATATCTAGATGGGTGACTTAAATGTTGTGAACTGCCCAGATAGCTTCAGCTATGGTTGGTATAGAAATATAATAATAATTAAATCAATGCATTCCCAAATATCTTTCCTTTCTCTGAAATGGCTGTTTTTTTCTTTAAAGACAGAGTGTAATCAAAGAATGTATTACCAAGGAAATCCTAGCAAATGAGATTGAAAAATTAAAATGAGTAATATTGATGTACTTCTTTTTTAGGTTGTAAAAACTGTTGGTCTACGAGAAGTCTGGTTTTTTGGACTGCAGTATGTGGACAGCAAAGGATACTCAACTTGGTTGAAATTGAATAAAAAGGTAAAGGTTTATTATTTGTACCCAATTCAAGATGATTCAGTATCATATAGAGATCAATTCTGTATTAATGGTGGTGATTTATGAAACATAATAAATACAAAGTATAGTTTTTTTACTGAAGAAGTGATGTAGTTTTATGTTGTGGTAGTTCCTATTCAATTTAATTTATTCTTTAGAATTTTCCAATTCTTTTTTCAGCTGAGACAATGTTTTTAGTGCTAGATTTGCTGTACACTCTGAAGATTAAATTGCAAGCTGAGCTAATATAGATATAATATGTAATTTATTTATTTATTTATGAGACTTCTATGCCTCCCCATTCGCCGAAGCCTCGGGGCGGCTCACATCCATAAATAAACTTCCATAGAATAATATAAATTAACAGTATAAATTAAGTCGCCCTGGCCAAAGAATAAAATGAATAAATACTATTAACAATTAAAATGACATTTGAATAAAAAGGTCTTCGCCTGGCGCCGAAAAACAAATAACGATGGTGCCAGGCAGACCTCTCTGGGGAGCACATTCCATAGATTGGGCGCCACCGCAGAGAAAGCCCTCCTCCGAGTACTTACCCTCCTAATTTCCTTCATGGAAGATTCCCGGAGAAGGGCCTCTCCCGCAGATCTCAAGGGGCGGGCAGGCATATATGGACGTAAGCGCTCCTTCAGGTAACCAGGATGCAAGCCGTTTAGGGCTTAATAGGTCATCACCAACACCTTGAATTGGGCCCGGACTTCAATGGGAAGCCAGTGAAGCTGACGGAGAACTGGAGTCATGTGAACATAACACCCAGTCCCCGTCAGCAGCCTGGCAGCTCTATTTTGAACCAACTGAAGTATCCGGACCGTCTTCAAGGGTAGCCCCACGTAGAGCGCGTTACAGAAGTCAAGTCGGGAAGTCACCAACGTGTGTGTCACTGTCGCCAGACAGTCGTACTCCAGGTAGGGGCGCAGCTGATGGATCATCCGAAGCTGAAAGAAAGCACTCTCGCCACCGCTGTCACCTGAGCTTCCAGTGAAAGCTCTGGGACGAGGAGCACTCCCAAGCTGCAAACCTTGTCCCTAAGAGGGAGTGCAACCCCATTCAGGACTAGGTTCAATTCACTCTCCCCGAAGCCCAATCCACCAACCAACAGGACCTCCATCTTGTCTGGATTGAGCTTCAGACAATGCCCATTTTCTTTTCTTGAGTTTTATCTTGGCCAACTCTAAGCCCTGTTTTGAACAGAACTAGTAAATTTCTAGAGTGAATGATCCTATTTCTATATGCTTTCTTTAGTGCAGCCACCTTGTCTGCCAGCATGATGGTATAGTTTTATGAAAGACAATTTAGCTTATGGTTGAAATAATTAGAAGCTTCTGGATTTGTTTTCTCTGAGTTACTATTCAGTAATATTTGATGGTGTGAGCATGTGCAGTAGAGAAGGTAAATTATACAGCTTGTGTTCCTGTTTTCATCAAGAAATAAATTTCCCATACAGGAACTTGTATTTGCCAGCTAAAGACTATCCTGAGGGAAATACCATGGAGCACCTTTAGTTGATGAATCCTGCTTAAACTTGATTGAATTTGCAGGTTCCATGGAAATTCATTTTCTAATACCTGTTGGATTTTCTGGTTTGGACATATACTTCTCCCAGTAGTGGGGGGAACTGTTGATCTCCTGTTTTCTGTGTATGGGTAGTGGCAGTGGGGGCTGAATAACTTATGAGTAGGTGTTCTGTCCATTTTTCTCTGAAGCAAGTATTCCACTTGCCTGTCTTTGAGCCTTTTACTTTGGGGGGGTTTGAAGTGATGGGGTGTAGAAACATGGATGAGGGATGCTAGTCTCTCATACTATGAATTAATTATTCCCTCCAATTTTAAGTGTAACTAGTGGGTGCTGATCAGATTGTAGTCAAAATGGGGTTATTTAAGAAACAAGGGGAGTAGTATCTGCATACTCAGGATCTGCAGAAATTTAAAAAATATTTAAGGGAAAAACATAAGAGGGTCATTCCTTCCACAGAAACAATCCAGTGCTGGCAGAGCGTACTTCGTGGCTGTATTGTGTACTTAGTGGCTGTATTGTGCTATGCATATGTGGATGGGGAATGAAAAACTGGAGGGGGGGGGGAGATTTGAATGGAAGACCCTAGAAGAGGACCTGGCTGCCTTGAACCCTGAATAGGAACCTTCCATACCACCACATTGTGTTTCAAGGCCCATCTATTCATTTGAATATTATCTTAGAATAATATGTTACTATAGTATTTTGTTATTAATCATTTTGATATGAAATTGGGTTTTATAATGCAAAATACTTTCTTAAATATTTAAATGTGACTTTTTGAATGCAAGTTGAATTTAGTTTGGATCCAAATTTTATGCAGAGAGGTTTTTAGAACTCATTTTTATAATGAAAATAGAAATAAGGTAAGAATTCATAAGGATTTCATATGGTCTTCTGTAGCTTCTGAAAGCTGTCGTGTTTTCTTAATTCTCAATTAATTATTTAGAGGACTGTGTAAATCACAAGTCTTTCAGTGTTGTGATTTCTAGAGTTGGATTACTCTATGTAACAATCTTTTTCTGATACTCTAATGTTCTGTTTACCCTTCTAAAAACTTCATTTCAGGTAACACAGCAAGATGTAAGGAAAGAAAGTCCTCTTCAATTCAAATTCAGGGCAAAGTTTTTTCCTGAGGATGTGTCTGAAGAGTTAATTCAAGAAATAACCCAGAGACTGTTTTTTCTGCAAGTCAAAGAAGCCATCTTAAATGATGAAATCTATTGTCCACCTGAAACTGCTGTTCTGCTAGCTTCTTATGCTGTTCAAGCTAAATATGGTGATTACAATAAAGAAATACATAAGCTAGGCTATTTGGCCAATGACAGACTTCTTCCCCAGCGGTAAGGAACTTCTATGCACATCAAAAGTCTAGAAACTCTGTTAGGATATAGTAAGCATGCCTAGTGGGTTCAGAAATGGAAGATTTTTATCTGGATCATACATAAAGCTAATGCATGGTTTACTTAATCCATGCTTAACCCATCATTTGTTACACTACCCAGGGTTTGTCGAGCAGATGATTGAACAACCATGGCTATTTTCTTAATTCCTAGGTTGCTTAGCTTCTTGTTTGTCTACTTCCTCTCTGTATTGCAAATGCCTGTGCAGCACTGTAGTATTGGCATATAGAGTGGCCAATTTCTGTGATCACTGTTATCTGCCATTTGTTTAGCCTGTTTAAACAACTCCTGAACATCCCACAGTTCTTGTTTTACGCATAACAACTACCCATGATTTAATACAAAGTTCACAGTTCAACAACAGGCCTTTGGTACTCTTTCAAATTGTATGTGGTTAACAAACCATCATTTGTTAGTGTAGGTGGTTTCACCCATAACAGCAGCCCAAATTTAAGCAATCCATGCATTAAATAAACCCATGCACAAACCAGGTCTGTGTCTGAGAGATAGTGAACCCTAAGTAAGAGAAAGCCATGAGCTGCTCAGTGCTACTGAACAAAAGATATATCTAGAATCCAGTTTAATAATTGGTGATAATTAGCAGCCATCCACTCATTTGTTCAATTTGATGTTTGTAAGCACCATTTCAGCTTCCTGAGAATTAGAGAGAAGGATTAAACACACACATAAAAACAGTTAATAAAAATGAACTTTCCAGCAGGAAGACTGGGAAGCTTGACTAGTCAGTCCAGTGGTCAGGAGGGCCAAGCCCTGTTCTATGTTTTCATCTTAAGTGGTTGCTATTTATTAATGTTGCTGCTGCTCTGTTTTTAGTCATGCCATTATTCTCTTTATTTCAAGATAAAAGGTAAAAGGTTACATAAATCAATAGAGATTGCTCTTATCAACTGTATCTATTGCTGTTTATTAACAGGAAGCATTTTATTGTTTTTAAATCATTGTAATCTGCCCTGAGTACTGCAGAAGGGCATGATGTAAAGTCTTCTAATTTAAACGAAATACAAGATGACTGGGATTTCTAGAACGTGAAGTAATATTGAAAGCTCAGGCAGACTTTTGGTTCTTGACTATCTTTCTCAAAGCTTTATTATTCGCTTTCAAACATTAGCATTGTTCTACGTGTTCACTGGACTAAATATACACAGAGAGCTTTTTGGAGTCCTCTCTTGTGCTGTTTATTGCTGACTTCAGGCCTATACTGATAGTCCAGGTTTTGCATAGACATATCAGGATAAACATTTTATAATGGTCCTTATTTTGGCAGTGTCTTGGAGCAGCATAAATTAACAAAAGAGCAGTGGGAAGAAAGAATACAGAATTGGCATGATGAACACAAAGGGATGCTAAGGTAATTTTGTAATATAGGTATAGCTTTATTTCATTTGATACTAGCTTGCTTTTGTTTATCTTTTACCTTATTCTATAAACATAATCAGTGTTGCTTGTTACTATAAATAGTCATTTTAGTTCACTCATGTATGTAATTAGCCCAGTTCTTCTTTGTGGTCTCTGTGACTCAGACATATCAATTGTTCACCTGTACAGAACAGCATTTGGGGCATTGTAGAACCAAAAAGAACTTTTGACAGGAGCCCTGGCCCCCTCCTCTGAATATGCTGCAGGTGCAGCTCCTGCCTGCCTCTCATTTCCTTTTATTCCACTACAGGAACAATCAGCATATTGGAACATTTTCTGTCTCATGGCCTAAAAACAAACCCAAATTGTTACATATTCCTATTCCTCCTCCTCCTCCTCCTTCTTTTCTTCTTCTTCTTCTTCTTCTTCTTCTTCTTCTTCTTCTTCTTCTTCTTTCTGAGTTACTCTCTATGTTTGATGGGGGTGGGGGGGTACTTTGGATGGATTGTCCTGCCATATCTGAATTCCTTCTTTTTTCCCTTTTGCCCCTCTTTGAGTCTGATTCTGTAGCCAGCTGTGGATTTTCCTAATAGTTGTTTTATCTAGCCCATATTTAACTAGTTTGCTGATCAGAATGTTATGGGGCACTTTGTCCAAAGCTTTACTGAAGTCAAGACATAGTATGTCCACAGCATTCCCACAATCCACAAGGGAGGGTACCCGATCAAAAAAATGAGATCATACTAGTCTAGCAAGTTTCGTTCTTGCTAAATCCATGCTATCTTCTAGTAATTACGGCACTGACTTCAAGGTGCTTCCAGACTGGCTTCTTTATTATCTTCTCTGGAATTTCCCCAGGGATTGTTGCTGCACTAACTGTTCTGTAGTTCCCAGGATCTTCCTTTTTGCCTTTTGGGGGAGAGGGGGGATAGAGAAAACATTAGCACTATTCCAGTCCTCTGGCACTTCACCCATGATTTTTCAAAGAGAATAGTGGTTCTGACCACCATTTCCTTTATTATTCTAGGATGTAGTTCATCAGACCCTAGAGATTTGAACTCATTCAAAGAAGTTAGGTGTTCCTTGACTGTTTGTTTATTAACCCCAAGCTTATTTATTTATTTATTTATTTATTTATTTATTTATTTATTAAAACATTTCTATGCCGCCCCTTGCCAAGGCCTCGGGGCGGCTTACAACATCGAGCTTCTATCCTGCCCCTTCAGTTTGCACTTCATTTCTGCCAGGAGGAAGGAGGCTCATAGATGTGCTTTTTGGAAAAGACTGAGCCAGACTAGGAATTGAGCACTTTGGTCTTCTGTTTGTCATCTGTTATTAATTTGCCATCCTCATTGAGATGCTAAACAACCATTTCTGCTCACTGTTTTTTACTGTGCACATACCTGAAATTTTTTTCTAGCATCTTGGGTTGCTTCTAGCATTCCTTGCTAGTCTCAGCTCATTTTCGGCTTTAGCCTTCCTGATGTCATTTCTGCAGTTCTGTGCCTCCTTTCTGTACCCTTCTTTTGTCACCTGGTTTACCTTCCACTTCCAGTACATAGTCTGGGACATGAGAATATAGACAATGAAGCACATGAGTTTCATGCCCTGAATTTTTTCCTTCATTATAGTGAAAACTATTTTGGCATGATACTAGAGTTTTTTGTTATGATACTAAAGCCTTTATCCACTGTTGCCTCCAAGTTCATGTTTCCCTTCCTGGCAGGATTCAGTTCGAAGCCTTTCTGATGAATTTCTTCATGCTATGGGCAAACACATTTGTTCCCGTTCTTATGAGGTGCAACCCATTCCTTGCCATCAATCTATCTTCCAAAAAGTACAGTGTGGGATCCCAGAATTCAAATCACTCATGTGGGTGCCAAGAATTGGGAGGATGGATGATAAAACTATCTGGGCCTCAAAGTTCTTGAGTTTCAAAACCTGTTGTGATTTTATTGTAGCTCAGTTTGGCAGTATCATTTGTTTCCACATGGACTAGAAGAAAGGCCTGTGTGTCAGTGGGTTTTATGAGCTTTGGTAAACCTTTGGTCACATCTCTAATCCAGGCTTCAGGGTAGAACATAATGGGTGAGTCCGTAGATCATCACAATACACATGGGTTTCAGTACCACACAACAAGGACTCTCCCACAATGACTACTTTTCTTCTTGGACAACTGAATCTTACTCCCTGTTGTACAGGCTTCCTTGTAATTATTCCTCTGCAGGCTGTCCTTTGGTCTCATCCTCCAGTAGCTAAAAGCAGTTACTTAGCTCTAGTGGTTCTACAGGTGCTAAGTGTTTTTGAATCTGCTCTTTTGAATCTGCTACCCTTCTCCAGGGAGTTTTCTCTTCATTGACTTTCCTCAACTCAGCATTCTCTATATCTGTTTCAGCCTGCTGTTGCTCTTCCATCTCTGGTGCATCTTGTTCCTACAGTCCCTTGTTCTCTCTAACAACTTTTCAGTTTACTGATTTCTGTGGGCCATTAACTTCATGGACTGCTGTCTTTAGCAGGTCAGCTGAAGGCTGACTTCAGGACTGCTTCTGGTGACCTCCTTTCACTTCCCAGAATTCCACAAACATATGCAGATTATCCCTGCTGCCTCCCTGGTCCTTGCATGGTCATCAGTGCACTCACACAAACCCACCCTCCTCTCTACTGCAGTGCCTTATAATGTACTTTTACTGCACCATGAAGGATTTGTAACATGTACAGAGGAGCTGAATGGGGTTCTTGCCAAAAGCTTGGTTAAGTCCTAAACAGGGGTTTAACTTGTAGATATGTGTGACTTCACAAATGACCACTCAAAGAACTGCACTTCCAGGTAATCAGTCTACCTTTCTTTATTATTTTTCCCTTATTCTATTTTAATTTTGCCATAAAATTATAAAGACACATTGGACTTGGTATTAATCCTCAGTTAGAACAGCAGTCCCAGCTGGTTTGTTAGGACAGTTTTCTTCAGATTGATAGAACTTATTTTCAAATAAACATGCATGAGATTTGTTTTCAACCTTTTGCATCTGTCTTTACAGTAAAATAAACTTGCGTTTTATCTGGTTGAAATTATGTTTTCCATTATCAGGGAAGATTCTATGATGGAATATCTCAAAATTGCACAAGATTTGGAAATGTATGGAGTCAACTACTTTGAAATAAAGAACAAAAAGGGAACTGAGTTATGGCTTGGTGTTGATGCTTTGGGTTTGAATATTTATGAACATGATGACAAGTAAGTAGCACTAGAACAATTTAAGTGTTTCCAGAGTACTGATCAAGAATCATCCTTCTTTGTAAGTTTCTAGATATACGTATTTTGTCTTTGAGGAAAATCTACATACGGTACAGGAAAGGAATGTAGTGGGTGTTGACCTGTCTTTTTGACAGAGGTGGATGAAATTACCTGTCCTTGCATCCTTAAGTCTGTGTTTGCCTGATAACTATGTTCTTTAGCATGTTTATCCTTTTATTAAGGGATTTTTATTTTATTAAGGGCACCCCGACTATGGAATGTGCTCCCTAGAGAGGTCCGCCTGGCGCCGTCATTATATGCTTTTTGGTGCCAGGTCAAGACCTTTTTATTTGACCAATATTTTAAAGCTAATTAATTTTAATTGTATATTCATTTAATTTATTTTAACCATGTCATTTTATACTCAATCGTGTAGCCAATTTATTTTGTTTAGGATTATAATATATTGCATGGGTCCTCAAACTACGACCTGCCTGTCGCCACCTGCATGCGCACTTGCTGCATGGGCGGGGAGGTTGTGGCTTGCTCGCTCGGAGATGGTTTTGGATTTGCTGGGAGATCTCTGAGCAAATGAGCCACCACTGCACGTGCCCAATGGCACCTCACCGGCCCACATCCCCAGGCACCCCCACCTCACTGGCCTGCAAAGGTCACCGCAGCCTTTCAACTGGTCCCCTATTCAGAAAGTTTGAGGACCCCTGATATATTGTAAGCTGTTTAGAGATGACAGTAATGGGCGGCCTATAAATTTCCTAAATAAAATAAAATAATAGACAGACAGACAGACAGACAGACAGATAAATATTTTTTTTCTTCCTTACCAAAGGTTGACTCCCAAGATTGGCTTTCCTTGGAGTGAAATCAGAAATATTTCATTTAATGACAAAAAGTTTGTGATAAAGCCTATTGACAAAAAGGCCCCGGTAAGTCAATCTTGTTTAAGTCCAAGATCATTATAGGGTAAACCTGTTACCACATCCTCTCTGGTTCTTATTTCTGTGAAGTGTTTTCTTTCTTATTGTAGCTGTATCGATATTGAATTTGTCACTTACTGATTTAATTTACTAATGCCCCCAATAACAGTCTTTCCCAGTAGCACTGGAAATAATTCCATGTGTTTTTTTATAGTTCCTTCTATAGTCTGCCTCATTTTTTTGAATTACAATTTTAAAACATTTTAAAAATGCAGCTATATAATCGATTTATGACTTCTATTTCCATTATTTGTCTATTTACTTGGAGTGTTTTTTGCCACTCCTCAATAGAAAAGTTTTCTGTGAGTGACTTAAAAATAATCAGTTAAAACAAAACAGTCCCTGCCCACAAACTAACATTCAAAAAGACATGACATACAGAGAAGAAGTAATGTGAACAGAAGAGGGGAAACAGAATTCTTTCCATATGTTGGTGGAATATTCCCACTTTCCCCTCAATACAGCCTTCCAGAATGGCTGCTGGTGCTAACAGTTGAGAAGAAGGCTTCATGGGGATGGTATGCAGCACAGCTGGTGGAGTAGCCCTGCTCCCCCTTTTACCTTCCTCAGCCTGTTGGAATTCTTCATTCCTAATTTGCCTTTTCAATGCAGCACCATACTAAATTTACATATTTCAGAGCTTTCCACAAAGTGTAGTTGCATCCAGTTTAAACCCTGCAGCACCGAAGTTTTCTTTCTTTTATGTCTCTAATGTACAAAACTTCCAAAATGCATTCTGAATTTCATCTGCCAGCCTGTTGCACAGTCATTTGCTTCAGAGATCCTTTGGACACTCTTCCTAGACTGGTTGGGATTTCAGCATCCTTAATAATTTGGTGTTCCCCACAAACATGGTTTTATTGCTGATTTCAGATCATATATTAATCTGGAACTGCTAATGACTAGTCCACAGTATATGCCATTAAAGAGTGGTTAATGAAAGTGCATTAAGTCTTAAGAAGCTGGTATTTTATGTAAGAAGTTTGAATGTCTGTGTGCTTTACAAATCAATAATTCTGAAACATAAATGGGATTCAACCTTTGAAATTTTTTAAATTAGGATTTTGTGTTTTATGCACCACGTCTGAGAATTAATAAGCGGATATTGGCTTTGTGCATGGGAAACCATGAGTTGTACATGAGAAGGAGGAAGCCAGATACAATTGAAGTACAACAGATGAAGGCCCAAGCTAGAGAAGAAAAACACCAAAAACAATTGGAAAGGTATGATACAGGTTATTTGTGAACTTACTGGAGTACTCTTGGCATTAGAACTGATTTCACAGCACTGTGTTCCAAAAGCAATCTAGCATATACCAATTTGAGACTGACTTAATACGGAAAAGAATGATTGCCTTAAGCTCTGTTTTTTCCCTTGTGGAGAAAAATCCCTGCAAACAGTGAGGGGTTGCCCTTTATTGAATCAGTGCCAGTTGTGTAAACTATTGTTGTTTGGGATCTTATTTGCCTGTTTATATGTGCTTATATAGTTCTGGCCAATGACAAATTAGGTTCATGAATTATATAGGAAGAAAGGATGTTTATTAAGCTACATGGTTTTCTTTTGCTCTGGGTAGTAGCTATTAAAGCTCATGTGCTTTTTCAGCCTTGTACCACAGCTAGATTTTTCCTTTGGTAAAGTGTAGTGAGAACAGGCTGTCTACTTTAATTGTACTCTGTGATAGCCCTGATGCTTTGGGGAAAAACAAAACTACTTGTACTGGCATGTTTATCATATACTCCCACAGTGATTTCAGAAGATCCTGTACTAGGTAAGCTTGAATATTAACACACAAGTGCTACTTTGATATTATCATGTTAGCTGCCGGAATTGCCAGTGCACAAACGGACTTAATAAAGGTGAGGAGATTATGGAGAATAAAAAAAAAATACTTAAACTTCAATGTTGCATCATATTGAACCTTGTTGATTAAGCTGTTAATGAAGTCCATGTGAGAAGGTTGAGGTTATGTGCTATTTGGGAGATTCTTGTTCTCTTGCTAGTTGATTATTGTATGTGCCAGATGAGAAGCATTGCCTTATCATTGCATTATGTTGATCTTCATCCTAAAGGGTTTTGCCTGTTCTTTCAGTGAGAGAATAGAGCAAGCAGGAAAAAGTTAACTGTTTCATAGAAGGCAGGACCAAATAGGTAAGTAACTCTGTGTCATTTGGAAGGGGAAGAAACCCATGGTCTTGACTCTCTCTTGTTCCAAACTGCAGAGTTGATCTGGAGGTCTCAAGTTAGGCCTGAGGGCATATCCCTTTATTCCATTTGTAGGATCTTCTTTTCTTTCCTTTGTTATTTTATTTCTTCAATGGGGAAAGCAGGGGTATTATTTCATGGAGGGTGGACAGTCAGGAGACCTTCCAAACATTGTGCTTCCTCTCCAGTTTAACCTTTGCCAAAAAAATCAAACAACTCTGTCTGCTGCATTTTGGCCAAGGAAGTGTGGGACTTAGGAAAACCTGCATCGGTACTAGCAGGAGCCTCAAGATCATTCTGATAGCAGCTCTTCTACCCATTGTAGTGAGTGCTGCTTCATCAGTTGACTCATCACTTGTTTGGTGTTCTACTCCCTCCTAGCTTACACTACTAATTGGGAAAGGAGATCTGCATTGATTAAGATGTACCCATCACATTTGGCTTCGTACTGTGAGCCAAAAATTCTGGTCCCTGCAGGCATCATTTGTGGTGCTACACAAGTACAGGGAGCCTTTCATTCCTGCTGTATCGAGAAATCACCTAGGCTAGATTTCATTGAGGCTGGCAGAGGCACATCTGCATCAGAAAGAGAGAAAAGGGTATTCTTAGAAGGGGAACTTACCTTCCTCCCTCCCAGCTCAGACTTCTCATTCATGATCTATGCCAGTGTCATAGCTGTGGTTCTTGCAGTGGTTTTTCCTGAGCTATGAAAGCCAAATAAGGGTTGGAGACAAACAGTGATTGAACAGTCTCTGCAAAATATATATCCAGCAGTATCTCAACTTCCAAAACAGAAGTTCCTGAGGTATTAAAAGCATAAGACATTGACCCAGTGGCCCTTGGGATTTTATGTAGGTTTTATTCTGTAGGTTGGGAGATTTGGACATTAATGGACATTAATGCCACTAAGAAGGACTTTGCTGGAGTGCTTTCTCGTGTATTCCACCTCTCACCTACTAGATTTCTGTGTTATGCTCTAGGTTAAAACATTATAGCTTCATTCAGATTCTAAGACTGATTCTCCTTCTCAAAGTTACTTATATGTTTGGCACTACCTTCCACAGAAGAGGGAAAGTTGTTCTCCCTTTCCTGCCTGCTCTAATCCTCACTGACCAGAAAAACACTTCAATTTTACCTTTGTAAGTCCAATTTTATCATTTTATATTTTAAGCTGTCTTGGGAGGTATGTGAAATATATTAATTTCATCCTGGTAGTAATGCTGTGAGTTGGACTTTGCTTCGTTTAGATACTTAGGATATAACTTTGAAATCTGCCAGAAGGAAAGCTGTTTTATTGTAGTAAGGTTCTTTCTAGTATATCATATAGGGTGCAATCCGGTTTAGGCAGACAAAATGCTATAGCTCCTAGCTAAGGGATGCTGGGAGTTGTAGAACTTTTTTTCCTGGCTGACCATGCATTGGATTGCATGATTTAATGATTGATACTGTTGAAATCCATTTGGCATGTTTGAGTAAATGGATTTACTTGTAGACTGTAATTTAAGATGGCTATACCTGTATCTCTTTCATTTAGAGCACAGCTAGAGAATGAAAAAAAGAAAAGGGAAATAGCAGAAAAAGAGAAAGAAAGAATAGAGCGTGAAAAGGAAGAGTTGATGGAACGGCTAAGACAAATTGAAGAACAGACAATGAAAGCCCAAAAAGGTAGCAATTGTGTTGCACTTACTTGCTTTGATAAATGGTATGTGTTACAATGTAATATGGTATGTTGTATACAGATGTTACAGTAGAAAGATGAAAGCTAGTTAGGAAATGCATGAATTTGATGTTGCAGTTAAAATAATACGCACATTGTGCCCTTATGCTTGAGCATGATTTATGGATAATGCTTTGTGTGACATTGTGAAGATTGAGAATTTACATCATCTAATCCTGATTTCTCCTTCATGGGTCACTGCCTTGTCGTGGCAAAGGGGCTTGCGTAGCTCAGTGAAGCTATGAGCTATGCCGTGCAGGGTCACCCAAGACGGACAGGTCATAGCAGAGAGCTCTGACAAAACGTGATCCACTGGAGAAGGAAATGGCAACCCACTCCAGTATCTTTGCCATGAAAACCCCATGGACAGTACCAAAAGGCAAAAAGATATGACACCAGGAGATGAGCCCCTCAGGTCGGAAGGTGTCCAATATGCTACTGGGGAAGATCAGAGGGCTAGTACTAGTAGCGCCAGAAAGAATAAAGCGACTGGGTCAAAGCCGAAAGGACACTCAGTTGCTGATGTATCTGGTGGTGAAAGAAGAGTCTGATGCTGCAAAGATCTATACTCCATAGGAACCTGGAATGTAAGATCCATGAATCAAGGCAAGCTGGACGTGGTGAAACAAGAGATGACAAGACTGAACATCGACATCTTAGGAATCAGTGAACTAAAATGGACAGGAATGGGTGAATTTAATTCAGATGACCATCAGGTATACTACTGCAGGCAAGAATCCCTCAGAAGAAATGGAGTAGCCTTCATAGTCAATAAAAGAGTAGGAAAAACAGTACTGGGATACAATCTCCAAAATGACAGAATGATCTCAGTTCGAATCCAAGGCAAACCATTGAACATCACAATAGTCCAAGTCTATGTCCCAACCACTGGTGCTGAAGAGGCTGAAGTTGACCAATTCTATGAAGGCCTACAACACCTTCTAGAATTAACTCCAAAAAATGATGTCCTTATCATCATGGGGGATTGGAATGCTAAAGTAGGAAGCCAAAAGATAACCGGAATAACAGGCAAGTTTGGCCTTGCAATACAAAATGAAGCAGGGCACAGGCTGATAGAATTTTGTCAAGAGAATACAATGGTCATACCAAACACTCTTTTCCAACAACCCAAGAGATAACTCTACACATGGACATCACGAGATGGTCAACACAGAAATTAGATTGACTATGTGCTCTGCAGCCAAAGATGGAGAAGCTCTATACAGTCAGTAAAAACTAGACCAGGGGCTGACTGTGGCTCAGATCATGAGCTTCTGGTTGCAAAATTTAGGCTTAAGTTGAAGAAAGTAGGGAAAAGCACTAGGCCACTAATGTATCACCTAAATCATATCCCTGATGAATATACAGTAGAGGTGACAGATAGATTTAAGGAATTAGATCTGATTGACGGAGTGCCTGAAGAGCTATGGATGGAGGTTTGCAACATTGTACAAGAGGTAGCAACTAAAACCATCCCAAAGAAAAAGAAATGCAAGAAAGCAAAATGGCTGTCTGAGGGGAACAGTGCAAAGAAATAGAAGAAAACAATAGAATAGGGAGGACCAGAGAGCTCTTCAAGAAAATTGGAGATATGAAGGGAACATTTCATGCAAAGATGGGCATGATAAAGGACCAGTATGGCAGGGACCTAACAGAGGCAGAAGAGATTAAGAAGAGGTGGCAAGATTACACAGAAGAACTATACAAGAAAGAGCTTAATGTCCCTGATAACCATGATGGGGTGGTCACTGACCTCGAGCCAGACATCCTGGAATGTGAAGTCAAATGGGCCTTAGGAAGTCTGAGCAACAACAAAGTTAGTGGAGGTGACAGTATTTCAGCTGAGCTATTCAAAATCCTAAAAGACAATGCAGTAAAAGTGCTACACTCAATATGCCAGCAAATTTGGAAAGCTCAACAGTGGCCACAGGATTGGAAAAGGTCAGTTTACATTCCGATCCCAAAGAAGGGCAATGCCAAAGAATGTTCGAACTACAGCAGTATTGCACTCATTTCACATGCTAGCTAAGTTATGCTCAAAATCCTACAAGCTAGGCTCCAGCAGTATGTGGATTGAGAACTACCAGAAGTACAGGCAGGATTTCGAAGAGGGAGAGGAACTAGAGATCAAATTGCCAACATACGCCGGATCATGGAGAAAGCTAGGGAGTTCCAGAAAAACATCTACTTCTGCTTCATTGACTATACTGAAGCCTTTGATTGTGTGGTTCACAACAATTTGTGGCAAGCTCTTAAAGAAATGGGTGTACTAGACCATCTTATTTGTCTCTTGAGAAACCTATATGTGGGTCAAGAAGCAACAGTGAGAACTGGGTACAGAACCACTGATTGGTTCAAAATTGGTTCAGAAAGGAGTTCGGCAAGGCTGTATACTGTTGCCCTGCCTATTTAACTTATATGTAGAGCACATCATGAGAAAGGTGGGACTAGATGTATTACCAGTTGGAATTAAGATTGCTGGGAGAAATATCAACAACCTCAGTTATGCAGATGATACCACTCTCGTGGCAGAAAGTGAAGAGGAACTAAAGAGCCTCTTGATGCGGGTGAAGGAGGAGAGCGCAAAAGTTGGCTTGAAACTCAACATTAAGAAAACTAAGATCATGGCATCCGGTCCTCTCACTTTCTGACAAATATATGGGGAAGAAATGGAGGTAGTGACAGATTTTATTTTCCTGGGCTCCAAGATCACCGCAGACAGGGACTGCAGCCAAGAAATTAAAAGATGCTTGCTCCTGGGGAGGAAAGCTATGGCAAATCTAGACAGCATACTAAAAAGCAGAGATATCACCCTGCCAACAAAAGTGCATATAGTCAAGGCTATGGTTTTCCCAGTTGCAATGTACGGCTGTGAAAGCTGGACCATAAGTAAGACTGAGCACAAAAGGATTGAGGCCTTTGAATTGTGGTGCTGGAGGAGACTTCTGCGAGTCCCTTGGACCGCAAGGCGATCAAACTGGTCAGTCCTAGAGGAGATCAACCCTGACTGCTCTTTAGAAGGCCAGGTCCTGAAGATGAAACTCAAATACTTTGGCCACCTAATGAGAAGGAAGGACTCCCTGGGGAAGAGTCTAATGCTGGGAACAATAGATGGCAAAAGAAGAAGGGGACGGCAGAGGATGAGGTGGCTAGATGGAGTCAACTGAAGCAGTTGATGTGAGCTTGGGTAGACTCTGGGAGATGGTAGAGGATAGGAGGGCCTGGAGGAATGTTGTCCATGGGGTCGTGATGGGTCGAACACAACTTCGCGACTAACAACAACAATCCTTATTTTGGATTTTAAAAAAAGAGATTAGCAACTTAGATCAAAATTACTTCAGCTGTGCAGTGGTAAGTATTCACATAATAGTCTTTCACCAGATGTACATTATATTTTAATCTTTGAACTATATACTATGTAATAGTCGCCTCGGGGCGACTTATTTTATACAGTTATGTATATTTTATATTGTTATTTATTTTATTTATTTATAAGCCGCCCCAAGGCTTCGCCGAATGGGGCAGGCTAGAAATGTTCTAAAACAAACAAATAAATAAATAAGTCTGAGAAATAGATAGGTCTATAAACCCCTGCTTATAAAGCTGAAAAGGGCCTATTTAATTGAAGTTACTTCTAAAATAGTTGTCTTTTGTTTACATGATAGTGAAGGTCTCTTAATCTCATTTGTGTAGGCCAGATGTCTAAAACAATACTAGAAATCTTTATGAAGAAATTACTTTCAAAGAAAAGAGAAAAGCAAGGAGAGAAATGGCAAAGAAGACGACAGTAAAAAAATACATCAAGTATAAATCCCCACCCATAGTGAAGTATTCCATGTTTCAATATGATAGCAAAGTATAGTCAAACTGGACTTACTTCTGGATTATTACTGATCTTAAAAAAAGACTTCATATTTTAGATGTTGTGGTTTCTAGTTTCTTTACAGGGTTTTCCAGCTGCAGCCATCATTTAACTTTTTGCTGTTGATTTTTCTGAATTTTACAAGTATTATAATGAGTCTTTAAAAATAGTTGTAAAAGAATTGAACAAAGACTAACTAGTATTATTTTAAATAATAAAAACGCGTTCCTTATACACATTGCTTTTCACAAGAACATAAGAACAGCCATGCTGAATCAGACCAAAGGTCCATGAAACAGTTGTATGCAACATTCAAAGTTTGCTTATATCTTTAAAAAATGATTTGTAGTATGAAACTGGAGGCAGTAATTCTCCAAACCATTTGCTATGTGAACTGCTAGTGTACAGAAAGAAATAAACAATGTAATTAAAGGATCCTGGGAACCTAAAGTACCCCCTAGAAGACAAATACAATTCATACTGTGCTGATTCAGATTTATTGGCCACTATGGGTTTGTCCAAACCAGGAGGTCAGAAAGGAAATTGGCAGTAGCTGAAAACAAGGTTTATACTATTCGAGTAGCCAGATCTTGACTTCTTTCTGTTATGGTATATATACCACTGGATCTGCTTTGTCTTTGGTGAACTTGCTTGCTTTGGCTTTTATACCAGGAACTATTGTTTTCTCTTTGTAATGTCATATTGACAATTTTGATGGATTTCCATGAGGGCAAATCCTCCTGCAGTCTGAGCAGTGAGGTGTAAAAACAGTTTTAAAAGGCAAGCCAGGCATCATTTTAGTTGAACAGCCTTGTGACTACTAGCTGCATAAGATAGAGGAAACATTGCAATAGCCCACTGCAGTGAAAGGTTTGCCTTGGATTATAATTTGTCAGATTTAAGCTACTGTGTAAACAGGTGCTAGTTAATCTCAGTTGAAAAGCAGTAAATCTATGTCTGATGCTGATCCTTAAAAAGCAGTGTGGGAATCTTAAGTTATGCAGTTTTGGAAAACTTCGTATAACACACTTCTGCCTAGTTAATCTGCAGGGATAAAATCTGAAAATGCTGTTGAAACATTTGGTTCTATTTTATAAACATTTGCACAGAACTGGAAGAACAGACAAGAAGAGCTCTAGAGCTGGATCAGGAACGAAAGAAAGCAAAGGAGGAAGCGGAGCGCCTGGAAAAGGAACGGAGAGCTGCAGAAGAAGCGAAAGCTGCTCTGGCAAAACAGGCTGCTGACCAGATGAAAAATCAGGAGCAGCTAGTAAGAAGTTACATAAATGTTGGACTGCAGAGTTAAATTAAACATCCCAGGAACAAACAAATTTAAATACTTCATGTTTCACCTAAGCAAAAGGGCACCTTCTGTGTAATCAGATGGTGATGTTAATGGTAGAACCTCCCCTATCTGAGTCAGTTAATTCACTGAGACTCAAATACTCCTTATGTTACTGCTTTCTTAACAATGGTGTTTTTCCAAAGGAAGCCTTCCTGATTCTTCGTCGTGGCCACTGTGCATCACACATATGGGGTGCTGTGCCTGCACAGTGCCTTTGGCTGGAAGATTACAAGCTAACGGTTTTTGGCGGGAAAGCTCCACTCCCGCTCCCCCATGGCCTATAAAGAGCGGAGCGTCCGCCATTTTGTTCAGTCTTTGCGACCGCCATTCTCCTGCCTCGTGCCGCTTTCGACTATCGCTCTGACCGTTACTCGTATAGTACTCTTCTTCTCTATTATTCTCCCAGTTATTATATCCTTGTTAGTTCTCGTTGGCTCTATAGTTCTTGTTAGTTCTGTAGTTCTATCGTTCTTTCTTTTGATCTTCTATAAAAAAACAAAACAAAACCAAAAATATATTCTTACCCTCTGCACTGTCTTCTTTTTTCCCATTTCTTGTGATGGCGCAGCGAGCGGCTTTCTGCAAATGCGCAGAATACGGGTCAAAGATGTCTCCATCTGACCTACATGACCTATGCCTCCTCTGCCTGGGGGAGGGGCATAGGAACGACAAGTGCTCTCACTGCCTGGCCTTCTCTAAGCAGGCCAGAAAAAATCATGAGAACTGCCTCCAGAGGCTCCTGTGGGATCGGGCTCTTATGCAGTCAGACCCACTCGTCGTCACTCTGAAGCCTGGCCCTACCACGGTGGTCCCGCCCTCACGCCCTTCGGACGTGTTGGAGAAGGTGTGTCTACCATGAGGGTTCCACCTGCTTCTCCGAAAAAGAAGCGTGAGAAGCGCAAACATGCTGATACCGAGAAATCAGCAAAGAAGGCCAGGAAAGAGAAGCCTCCTAAACCGACCCAGAAGTTGAAGGACCCGAAGCGCCCACGGCACTGTGACTCGGGTTCGACAGCCACCTTGGTACCGGCGGCAGCTACCGTACCGACCCCACCTGAGCCGGTACTCCAGGCAGCTATGAGGGTTACCCCCCAAGGGTCCCCTCGACATGTGGCCGATCTTCCCACCGAGCCGCTGCCAACTCTTCAGCGGGGATCGATTTCTGATGGGGAAATTCAAGACTCTCCCCCCAGGACTAGGTCACCCATGCCTATGCCCATGACCATGACGGAGGCGGATGTGGTCATATCCCCGCCTAGGGTCCGCAGGAGCCACTCGAGGGAGCAGAGATCTGAGGAATGGTATCGCTCCTACTGTCCATCCTGGGGCGAGCCATACTCTACCGGGTACTATCCCGCACCGAGGGATCGGTCCCCACCACCCTCCCGCGACCGCCCGCTGTCGTTGGACCTGAGGCGCGCGTCCCTGATTCCTCGGGATGAGAGTAGCCGGTCCGTCTCGCTGGTGGAGTCCTCCTCTGCAGCTCCCCCACACTACGGCACGGACTCTGACGACTCAGACATCGATTCCACCTCTCCCGACGTCACTGTGACCTCCCAGGGCCCTGCGTCACCGGACGAGTCCCATGTCTCCTTCGCGGAGCTGATGTCCCAGCTTGTCCAATCCCTGGATATCGATGCTGTCCAGCATCTCGGACCTTCGACGGACAAATTTTATGACGTCGTCTGCGGGGAGCAGTCCACCTTGATCGTCCTGCCTTTGATTACCACCCTACGGCAGGCGATGAGGCAACCCTGGGACTTGCCTTTTCACCCTCAACCCACTTTGCGGAGGTACGAAGCCATGTACTGGGTTCGGGAGGAGGACATCCCATTCCTCCTCCGCCACCCCAAGCTGAACTCGGTCGTGTTGGAGTCCTCCCAGGGTAGAGAGGCAAGAGGCCACACCACTCCGTGGGATAAGGAGGGCCATAAGATTGACTCCCTGGCCAGGAGAGTCTATGCAGCTTCAGGCCTGGGGCTGCGTATTTTGAACTACGAGGTGATGTTGGCAAGGTACCAGTACTTTATAATGCAACACCTCCACAACGTCGTCTCGGCCCTCCCAGACCACCAGGGTGACCTGGCCAAGGTGCTAATAAAAGAGGCAATGCAGGTCGCTGTTCAGCAGTTGTCCACAGCCAGGCACCATGTGGACACCAACTCAAGAGCCTTGGTCGGTGCTGTCTCTCTCCGCAGGCATGCATGGCTGAGGAGTGCCAACTTCCCGTAAAAGACTAAGTGCCAAATTGAGGAAATGCCCTTTGACGGGTCCGGGCTTTTCCATTCCAAGACGAATCATAAACTCAAAAAACTCCATGAATCCCGCATGACGGCCCAACGGATGGAGCTCCTGTTGCAGCCGAGGCGTAAGTGGGCATGGACCCGTCCGCCCTACAGACAGTCTTTCCAATCCAGGCAACAGCCTCAGCACAGGCAACAGCAACAACAACGCCGCCAACAACAGCCCCAACAACACTACCAACAGGGCCGTCGCCGATATGACGACAGGAGGCAGTGTTGACGGTACGGGCGAACCATTCCTCTAACCTATCCTTTACCCACCCCTCTCTCATCTGGGGACCGGCTGCGAAGCCGACTCCCCATTTGGGAGTCCATTACATCTGACCGGTGGGTATTGTCCATCATAGAGCACGGCTATCGGATAGAATTCGACATTGTTCCCCCATCGAGTCCGATCCGGTTTACATCATGCTCGCCGGTACTGCTCAATGAAATACAACAACTTCTTCGTAAAGGAGCGATTCGTCAAATAACTCAACATGACGGACTTCACGGATTCTACTCCAGATATTTTACGGTCCCCAAGCGGGATGGTGGCTTACATCTTATTTTGGACTTACGTAATCTGAATCGATTCATCGTGAAGAAAAAGTTTCGAATGACCACCCTCCAAAATATTTTGCCACTGCTAAGGAAAGAGGACTGTTTCTCCTCATTGGACTTGAAGGACGCCTATTTCCATGTTGTGATCCATCCCAATTATAGGCGTTTCCTTCGCTTTGCTGTTGCTTCCGATTTGTACGAATTTACGGTTCTACCCTTCGGTTTGGCCACCGCTCCGAGTGTTCACTAAATGCATGGCCCCTGTCTGCGCTTTCCTACGCCTCCAAGGCATACAAGTTTATCCTTACCTTGATGACTGGCTCCTGGTCTCCAGGTCTAGGGAAGCACTCCTCAATTCCATTCGTATTACCTGTGCCTTATTGGACAATCTGGGCCTATGCATTAATACCGAGAAATCTTCTCTTCTTCCGGTACAGAAGCTTACATTCATCGGAGCCCACTTGGATTCGACGTTGGAAAAGGCCTTCCTCCCTCGGGACAGACAACTGACTCTCGCTCATCACATCCATCGAATGCAACGAGACGGGACGGTTCCAGCGAAGTCCATCCAGAGGCTTCTGGGTCATATGGCTTCCTCCGTTGCTGTGGTACCACACGCCAGACTTCGACTTCGTCCTTTGCAGCTATTTCTCAACAAAGTATTCCATCCACAGAGAGATCCACTGTCGAAGTTGCTCCCAGTTCCATCCTCGGTGCTCCACTCTCTCCTATGGTGGTTGGTCCCGGCCAATTTGACTGTTGGGGTCCCCTTCAGGCCCCAATGCCCATCGATAACTGTTGGTACTGATGCGTCTCTTCTGGGGTGGGGAGTGGTATGCTTCGGCCTGTATACCCAGGGCACGTGGACTCATCAAGAATGCACGAATCATATCAACTTCCTGGAGCTCTTGGCGGTATTCAAAGCCCTACGCTCTTTCGAAGATATTCTTCAACATCGGGTCGTTCAGATAACGCCGGACAACTTAGCCACCGTCTTTTATCTGAACAAACAAGGTGGGACGAAATCTCCAACCCTGGCCAGACTTTCTATGCAGATCTGGGACTGGTGCATTCTGAGAGTCATTACACTAATGGCAGTCCATCTGGCCGGTACGGACAATGTGGAAGCAGACCTTCTCAGCAGGCACATACTTACCTCTCACGAATGGGAACTAGATCCTCAGACACACAATGTTCTTTTCCATCGCTGGGGGTTTCCCGACGTGGACTTGTTCGCCACCCAACAGAACAAGGTGTGCAAGACTTTCTGTTCGAGAGTGGGGATAGGGTGCGAATCCCTAGGGGACGCCTTCATGATCCCATGGAACAACCTGAATTTTTACGCCTTCCCACCAATTCCTCTTGTGATGAGAGTCATAGCGAAGATTGTATACAATCGGGCCACGGGGATACTGATTACCCCTTGGTGGCCACCCCAACCTTGGTTTGCCACACTGCTCAACATCTCTCACGGGGAATACCTTCATCTTCCACTGCTTCCGTACCTCATAACCCAGCAGGACGGTGCGCTTCACCATCCAGATATACTGTCGTTGAAACTAACAGCGTGGTGAATCCGATAGTTAATTTTGCTACATCTGTACCGACGGCAACTTCAAGTGGTTTGAATCCTGCCCTCGAATCCGCTGCATTCAGAACCTTCGAATCCGCTGGAGTCGACGTTGCTTCCTCTTTCGATCCACTAGCACTGTCGGATCCGACAATTGTTCCACTAAATCCGACAACCTTGCATCCGGATATTCAACACATCTTGGATTCCGCTCTAAAGCCTTCCACACGGAAGTCTTATGCGGCTAAATGGAGAAGATTTTCCACCTTTGCCAAGTCTCGTTCGTTCTCTCCACTTACATCATCGATACACCAAATTCTTCAGTTCTTCTTAGAACTACGCCACTCTGGACTGAAACCATCTTCGATTAAGGTGTATACGGTGGCAATCGCCTATCATCGTGGCATGCTAGATGGATCGTCCATCTTTTCTCAACCTACTATTAAGAGGTTTCTGAAGGGGCTTTATAATCTGAATCCATCGATCAGGCCAGTAATGCCTACCTGGAGTCTCTCTGTTGTTTTGCAAGCGCTTACAAGAGCTCCTTTCGAACTGTTAGCAACAGTCGATTTACGTCTTGTTTCGTGGAAGACAGCGTTTCTAGTAGCGGTTACCTCGGCCCAAAGGGCCAGTGAGCTCTGCACTCTCCACGTAGACCCACCTTACCTCAACTTTCATAGAGAAAAGGTTGTCCTGCGGCTCGATCCATCTTTTCTCCCAAAGGTGTCCATTCCCTTTCATATGGGACAAGATATCAATTTGCTGGCTTTCTTTCTGCCTCCGTCAACTCCGCTAGAGAGATCATTGCACTCACTTGACATTGTTTAGCCTTCTACAGATCTAGGACGGAATCTATTCGGCGTTCAAATAGACTTTTCATTAAATATGCTACCAGAGATCAGGGCGCTCCTGTCACTCCTCAGAGACTTTCTAAGTGGATAGTCCATAATATCACTTTATCCTATCAACTGGCTAAGATTGACTTACCCACAGCTCGTCAAAGCCATTCGACTAGGGCTGTTGCTACCTCCTCTGCCTTCGCATCAGGAGTACCGATTGACGATGTGTGTCGGGCTGCTACTTGGGCGAACCCTTGCAGTTTCGCCAAACATTATCATTTAGACGTTTGGGCTTGACAAGATTGCTCCTTTGGCAGAGCCGTTCTTTCATCTGTTCTTCATCGAGGACATCTCCCCTCCTCCATTATAGTAAGCTTGTTAATCTACCCATATGTGTAATGCACAGAGGCCACAACGAAGAAAAGGTTGCTTACCGTAACTGTTGTTCTTCGAGTGGCCATCTCTGCAGTCACACAACCCACCCACCAGCCCCGCTCGGTGTCGGTGAGTGGATATTTTTGTCGGTACCAAACGTTTCCATTTTTCTTGGTACCGATATCGTTTACAGTAGGAATATTTTTTCCACATGGGTTCATACGTTCGGTTGTCAAAGACTGAACAAAATGGCGGATGTTCCGCTCTTTATAGGCCATTGGGGAGCGGGAGCAGAGCTTTCCCGCCAAAAACTGTTAGCTTGTACTCTTCTGGCCAAAGGCACTGCACAGGCGCAGCACCCCATATGTGTGACTGCACAGATGGCCACTCGAAGAACATCAGTTACAGGTAAGCAACCTGCTTTTCTTTCCTACCTTGAGGTTTTGATTGTTACTTTTTGGCCTAGCTATATTCGTTTGAATAACCATTCCAGCTGTTCATTGCATTTTTGTTTTTTATAAAATCCACTAGGATGCAGGTCACTACTTCTAAAGAAGTCATAGCATTATAATGCAGGCAGTTTTATTAACTAGCTTGGCATCACCAGACGAAAACATAGGTTCTTCTATATTACAGTCCATTAAGTGGCGTTGCTTTATTTTTACAGGCAGCAGAACTAGCAGAATTCACTGCTAAGATTGCACTTTTGGAGGAGGCCAAGAAGAAGAAGGAAGAAGAAGCCTCAGAATGGCAGCACAAAGTAAGCATTTTGTGTACTGAATCTGTCATTTGTGAATGAGCAAGCGTTTTGAACTGCCTGCCAGAGCTCAATTTTCTGAACTAACTCGTGGGCATTTCCCACTCATTATAGTCAAATTTTCTGCATTTCTGGAGCATTTTTGGTACTAGTGCTACTGTATCCCTTTTGATATTGCAGAGGAGCAATACTTGGGTTTGCATATGTAAGAGATGTTGCTTTATCTGTTGATTATACCTGAGAATATTTATTTATTTATTAGTTTTATATACTGCCTTTTTCTTTTTTAAAGAACTGAAAGCAGCTTACATCATTTCCCTCCTGCTGCTGTCAGTCTTATCCCCACAACAGCAACCCTCTGAGGTAGGTTGGGCTGAGAGTCTATGACTGGCCCAAAGTTACTCAGTTGGCTCCATGGCTGAGCAGGAACTAGAACCCAGATCACCTGAGTTCCAATCCCATGCTGCTCTTAACCTCTAAACCACACATGTTGTCTTTTATTGAGAAAAAAGAACTTGCTGATTTGCAGAGCTGCTTAAGTTTGGTTTCTGGTCTTTTTTTGAGACTACTTGTATATAATTTTAAATGCACAGGCCTCAAATGTATAAAAAGTCAAAGTGCTTCAGTTGGTTCAATCCCATTCCTTCAGCTTGATCGAAGTGTGAGCTTGGCAGCTTTTGCTAGTTTGTGGTGCATGCATGTTAAGCAATCTATCTTTCTATCCTTAGGCTTTTGCAGCCCAAGAAGATCTGGAAAAGACCAAAGAAGAACTGAAGACTGTGATGTCAGCTCCTCCCCCTCCTCCACCCCCACCTGTTGTCCCTCCAACAGAGAATGAACATGATGAACAGGATGAGAATAATGCTGAAGCTAGCGCAGAATTGGCTTCTGATGGTGTTGTAAATCACAGGAGTGAGGAAGAGCGTGTAACAGAAACACAGAAGAATGAACGTGTTAAGAAACAGCTCCAGGTAATAAAAGCTTGCAGTGACATGTAATATAGGCCACAAACTAGAACATTCTTTGCTTGAGGGATTATGTACACCTGTCAGAAGGCTTTCTTTTCTTGGTACAGTAGCCCCATGAAGACTACATCACAGAGTGCTTTTGAAACTTCCCCCAGGTTACCTTTTTTTTTTTTTTTTTTGGGTGTGGGGGGGCAGCTGTAAGAGGGCATCCCTTTTGGACTTGCAGAGCAAGTAATTCTGTTCAGTGGGTTGTGGACATAGCAGTTGCTGCTCTCCAAAACCATAGAACAAAAGCAAATCATCATATATACTTCCATGCGCTTGTCATCACTTTTATATCACAGAAACATAATGTTTCATGAAGTCTAGAGGAAAAAAAAGTAATGGAAGAATTTCTTTGTTCATTTTATCGTTTGTGCTGTGTCATGAAGTGATATTGTTTTGGAACTGTATAAGATGAGGAAGACTGCAGCCCTATGCAGTGGGTTGATGCACATTCTTATTGTGAAATGCTCAGCACAATAACATTTTAAAGTTCTTGCTGCATGGTGCAAATTATATTGCATAATGCAAATGTTGGTTTTATTCATTTCAAATATTGAGCATTAAACCAGTTAACACCTCTTTAAAAATGCTGAGATCAGATTACATTTTAATGGAAGCTCTTGGAGTGGACTTTTCTGCTGAGCTTCCTTTTTAAATGTCTTTGGTCTCTTTCAATAATGCATATAAAGGCATCATTTACTTTGCAAGGTCATCACAATTTTTGATTCAATAAGTATGCTTCCTGGCACTATAGATGTATAATAAGCATTATTCTCAAGTATAAATCTATACTGTGAAGTAGGCAATTCTTTCAGTTGGGTAAGAAGGCTAGCTTAATACAATTCAACAATATAATTGCCATCTGTTTAAAAAAGTATCTTCAGTGTTCCTGCATGTTTCTGTACCATTTGATGGCTTGAGAATGGATTTGGAAAGTAACAATTGTACGTATTAATGCAAATTATTTGCTTCTCTTTTCCCCCATCATCTCTCTTACTCCAATTCTTTTCCAGAATATGTGCATGAGTAATTTTATTGTATAAACCATAGGTGATTTCTTGAAAGCAAGGAAAAGTTGAAACTGCTATGTTGATAAAATTTATTTAAAAGAAGACAATGAGCAACCTGCGTGCAGTGCTCAGCATTTCCAAGAAACCTTTTTTGCTGGATTGGGGCAGTCTTCCTCCACCTGGTACCCTATACATATTTTGAACTTCAGCTTTCATCAGATTCAGCAAATGGTCATAAATGCTGGGGTGTAGTGGAAAAATCTGGACGGCACCAGGTTGAGGAAGGCAGTATTGATATTATGAGGTATTGATCTTCATAAAATTTTAACAGCAGAAATTTGTATTGAGATGTCATTAAGGGATGTCATTGCCCCCCCTGCAAACGTATGCTACTGTGTTTTGTGTGTGTCTGTGTGTGTGTGTAAATCCAGAACACTGACACAGATTGAGTGACCCTCCAGATCATGATGGATCAACTTGCATTGGTGCCAGCCAAAATGGGCAGTGCTCAGGAATGCTGCGAGCTGGGTACCAGCATGATCTGGATGAGCCATGTTCCCAGCGCATGATGTGTAGCAAATAAAATGTTGAACTTGATGACCAGAAGTGGCAGTGTGTGTAACTCCCAATACTTCTGTTCAACAGGCTCTAAGTTCTGAGTTGGCCCAAGCCAGAGATGAATCCAAGAAAACCCAGAATGATGTCCTTCATGCGGAAAATGTTAAAGCAGGCCGAGATAAATACAAGACTCTTCGACAGATCCGACAGGGCAATACAAAGCAACGCATTGATGAATTTGAAGCAATGTGAGAGCTGTTACTTTGCATATATGTTCTTCATTAAGCTTGAACCAGCAGCAGAGAAACACAGGCATTTCCACTTGTGAAAGGAACACACCCCACCTTGCCAAAGCACTTATACCAGTTTGTGGTTAAAACGCATTTCATGAAAGTCTTTCAACAATAAGGCAGCCTATGTACAATGGCTCTCAGGGTGGTGTTAGCAGTTTCCATGATCTAATATCATGCATCTATATTCCTTGTCCTTTGAAGAACTAGCACAGTCTCAGGCTGACAAAGCCATTAACCCAAGCATTGATCATTTGAAAGAATACTAGCTTTTACTTTACAATAACTGACCAGTTTTGGCATGGGTGCACTTTGGGACATTATTTTCAATTAGAAAATTTGCAAAACTTTTGATACTGCTGGATTTGTCATGGATTTCAGATTTTCCCCCTTGGTGGAATTCTTTGGTGTTTCATGTCCTGTCATCATTGATGGTTTTCTTTGCCCACCTCTTCACAAAGGTCTAGATGGCACATACTTGTTCCAACATACCTTTTTCCTTTTAAAAAGGAAAAGAAAGTGGAACTTTATTTGTAAAAAATAATTGCTTGTGTTACTGAAATCTTTAGTTTTTCAAAGAGAAGTAGGGAAAAAGTAATTTCTCTGGGTTCTTCTTCCTTTGTGTTCTTTTGTCATATGGATTGCAATGAGGGAAACTGGACCTTTCTGATAAGGGTGCATATGAAAACATCAGTCCCAAGCAAGGGACAGTATCCTACCTCATTACTATATATGATGACTGGTCCTCTAAACACCTTCTTAAAATGCTGTGTTAAGCTTGGATCTCCATAGCTAAAAATGACACAAATCTAGGAGCCTTTACTCTTTAATATTCTGTTCTATTGCAGATAGATTTATAGTATTCAAAGAGTGCTCAGCTGCCTTTTTGTCGAGTAAAATTGTGCATCATGTATTTTACGCATTTTTAAAAAATGTAACCTGTCACTGGTATGCTATCCAATGGGAGGAAGTGAAATGTTTGAGCTTGTCTGGATTTCTTTGTATTCACTTAACATTGCTGTGGGGCTCATTTCTTAATGAAGTCTGTGCATAAAACAATGCTGCTTTGCACTTGCTTTAAGGCCCATTTGCACATCATGTTCTTCCTGTTCCTTCCATGATATCTCTGAAGATGCAAAGTCACAGCCTCTGTGTGCTCTGTGTTTTCAGGGAATCTGGTTACAGGGATTGTGGCAGAATACAGGCAAATGAGTTGTATGAACAAATGTTTAGAGTGAAGTTCAGCATACACTCAATTAATTTTGAGTGTCTGTTTTGAACCAATGTTGAATCATTCTTATCTAATACTCCTTGGAATGACTAAGCAAAACTGGGCACCTTGAGTTTGAGGATTGTCTTTATAGAAATTAAACTGAAATTATGTACCTTTTTATAGATCTTTAACTAGCAGTTGGGAGAAAGAAGTGCTGCTTTCTCTGAGGATGGTTCAGCTGACTTCTGTTTGGTATTATGCACTCGACATTTACACATCTATTACAATTGCCATTTTATTAAATTTTCATGCACAAGTTCCTTATGAAACCTGTTGAGGGTTGTTGTTGTTTTTTCTGAATATTACTAGAGATCCATTGAGGGAGGGAACAGTACACATACACAAAGGGAACAGTACATATGCACATATTATTTTTGGGATAAAGGTAGCTGGCTAACCTTGCATAGACTGGTGTGCAAATGCTGGGCACATACTCCGAAATGCTGTTTGATTGCCCTGGAGCATTTCTGTTTCCATTTGCAGAAATTGGGGCAAAGTATTGCATGCTTTCATGCAATGAATCATGAGGCCTGAATTTCTAAAGTGTTCAACAATCTTGCCATAGCAGGTGGGATGCTGTGCATGGTTCTTCTCTGAAATGTGTGCACATGCATTCACATGCTAGTCTGTCAGTGTGAGGGAGGGAAATACCAGTTAGATTTGCTATTCATAATCTATAATGTATAGATTAGTATTTAAATGGGTCTAAATCGTATATAAAACCATGTGGATTTTTCTAAGCAACCAGGACATAACATTTGTTAACAAGGATTTTCACCATGAATAGCATTGGTGATGGTAGTCACCAGCTGTTGGGGAAACATTGCGGCAGAAAGCAAATTATTGGTGAAGTAATTTTCAGTGTGCTTCCCCGCTTCTTTCCACTCCCCTCCTTATCAAGTTTTGTGTTGTAAAATTAAGCTACAGTTAATAACATCTATTATTTTGGATAACATTCATTGGCTAACAATAAAGAGAATACAGTTCATTCTTCTGAGGTCCACTGTTGTTATTTCATCCATCTTCCCAAACAATATTGTCTGGTTGCATTGTAAAATTCTAATTTTCTTGAATACATGTTTGGAACATGCAAAGTGTAAGCAGAAGCTTTGGAGGGAGGGTCTTCAGTTGTGAGCAAAAATGGTCCTTGTGGGTCCCAAAGAGATGAATCAATGCCACGAAAATTCTCTCAAGGACAAGGAGGTGATCCAAAGCACAGGGATCATGTGGCAAAGTTTAGAACCGATTGTTTGATGCATGTCATGAGGTGACTGGAGAGGACTTGCACAGCTGTGTGCCCGCATGTTCAGTTTTGAATCTGCTCCAATTTTGCCACACGAAGGTGGATAGAGTCATAAACAAATTTGAGTTGGAAGTTCATTTCCATGTCATTGGCTAATTGTTGCACATGCAAAGTGAGGCCACCTCTGAGCCAGTTCAGGCTCAACTTCCTGGTTTTATAATATAGTTTATTCTAAGTTTAGTTCGGTCAGAGAAATTTATGACAGTGCATGCAAATGAAAGCATTGTACTGCTTCATTGTAATATTGTACTTTTGCATCTGTCCAGGCAATCATCATGGGTTTTTCACAGCATTCTGTTAAATCAGTAAATGAGCAAAATGGGTTGGCTGGAGTGTTGGACTTGTAACATACCAGATATTCTAGTGTCTGCTTCCTATAGCATATCACTTTGCCTGCTTAACTGGTGTGTATCTGAGTAAAAGAAGTTGCCTTATGTGTAGGAAGGGTTCAGAAAAAGAAGCCTCTCCATAATACTCTTACAGAGGAAACAGCAGAGTTACGTACTATGTAAAAGGGTACTTGAGAAAGAAGTAATGGCAGCTGCCTATATGTAGCACAGGCAGTAAATTTACCCAGGTAACACAAAGGAAATGCAGTCCTTTGTGCCATCCACAATTTTGTATTGGGTATTTATGTGGTTGGAAGATTATGTTCAGGCATTCACCCAAGGATGCTATACATTTCACAGTATGTTTTCTGATAACTGGATTCTCTTAGGGTGCATGTAGAAGTCAAAGAAATGTGTAATGTGTGTGTTAATGTGTTCTGAATTTCAGAAATGGTTTCTTTAGAGCCAAATGAATGGTTCCATTGAGCTCTTTCATATAGCTTCCTTTTGCAACTCTAAAGGTCACCCTTACCTAATTTTTCTCCTCCTTTGTGTGGCATATTTAGGAGGAGTCAGGGATTACAAAGAAGCGTAACATTTGCAGACCAAAAAAATATAAAAAAGCAAAACTGATAAATTGTTGAAGGAAATAGTATGATGTATGTTTGAAGGCACTGTTATTTTCTGCTTTATCTAGAGTGCTTTGAATAGAATTCCACTTAGCCTAAAGAACAATAGTCACCTCTTGTCTTCTGAATTTATTCTTGGCTTTTGAGATCACCCACCACCATATAGGATCGCCAAATAGCTTACTGGAAAATAGTTCTCAGTTGAATATATCCAGCAATTATTCCTGCCTTCTGTGCAAGGCAGGACTGTGTAAAACAGATGACTGCTTCCCTTCCCATGGAAGGAGAATCCTGTCTGCTCTCTGTTTACCAGGTTTGTGCAAACCTCTGTTCCATTTTCACCCTTTGGGGCTGATTTGTCTGTCTGTTTTCCTGCAGGCATGCTTTTTCAAAGCCACATGCCATCTCAAAAACAATGGTTTAACACTATCTGTAGCTATACTTTTATTGCTAATTATTTTATTTATACTATTTTATACTTTATACTATTCTTTTATTGCACTCTGTGCAATGCCCACAGACTCAGACTGCCTCCATTGTGCAACATCTTTGTCAGTGCTCTTGGTCATCCTACAAGCAGGAGTGGGAAGTTGTTCAGCCTGCGGGCCAGGCTGCCATCTGGAAAATCTCCCTTGTCAGCTGTGGGTGTGGCCAGAGCTCAAACAGGGCATGGCCATCTCCTTTTCACAGCCCATTCTCGCTTGTGTGTACCATCAGCTGATCAACGAAGATCAGCTGTGGAAAGTGGCATTTTCCACTACCATAGTGGCACACTAACCCTAAACCTGACCTGCATATCATGGCAGGGGTATAAATCTCTGTTGAGGGTTGAAAGTACATTTCCAACTGCTGATTGGAAATGAGCTCTTCCCTGCTCAGCAAGTGGGAGGGGGATCGGGTGTAGAGGCAAAGCCTGGGGAATTGGTTGGCAGACTTTCACACTAGCTTTCTTTCCGTCTAGCTAACCAAAACTGTCAAGCTGGCTGGGGAATGCTCAGAATGGCAGGCCAGCCCATCTGGAGGGCACCCAGCTGCATATTGTAAAACTGTTTTCAAGTCAAATCTCACAACACTGCAGAGCATGCAAAAGACAAGAACTAAAATGTGTTGTAACTCAGCTGAGGTGTAAAAAATATTGACTGCAGAAGGTTCTGTAAAATAATTTGAAAGTAATATCAAACACTCTATGTATCCAGACTGCAGTAGCAAGCAATAACAGCAGTGTCCTCTCCATGGCTGCATTTCTGATCTGTTGAAGAAATTGTTTTTTCCAGACTTTCCAGCCCCTGCCCCCTTTCCTGACAAGTTCTTTAGACAATAGGAAAAAGTGTAACTTAGGATTCAGGAACTGCTAGAGCAACCTGCCTTGACCTGGAAGCCCACCAGCATGGCAGGTGATGGGAATAGCTCAGCACATCTGAAGGTCACTTGGTTGGAGGAAGGCCACCATAGAGCCTTAAAAGGCAAGCAGTCTCATCTCTGGATATTGTATGATTCTGTTTCAAGTTTGCTTTCTTGCTTACTAAGCACTCAATAGACAAGCATGTTCTTTGTGTATCTGCATAGCAGGTTGCAGATCCAGTTCCTGAATGCTCCTATGTAAATGAGCTTGCAACATCAAAAAGAGTTTTTGCTATCAGTCATGTGCTAATTCAATGTGTATTTGTTCTCTAACTCAGTGCAGACCTATGTGGGTTTACTCATTAATTTGGGCTCCCGAGTGTGTATAAATTCGTGGTGAATTGTGACCATAACTAGCTCAGAAGCCCTGCAGTCAACGTATCCCCACCTCATTATTTCAGAGCCCAATTCCAGGGAAATCTTTTCCATGGAAATTATGCAAGCCCTCTAAACATGCAGGGTTGGGGGGATTTATGATGTTGCACTTTGGCTCCCATTGGCCAGGCTGGCTGGTGCTGAACCCTGCTGTAAATAGGCTTTAAATAACCATGCTTGTGCAGGAGTTCTTTTCCATTTTCTCATTAAATCTGCTTTGGTCTTTCTTCTTCTTCTTCTGTGTCTTTATGCAGGTTACAAAAGTACGCTCTCTTGCAACCTTTAGGATAGAAACTTATTAAGGAACAACAGAAGAACCTGTGAGGTCTACCCAGGCTTGCCTCTGTGCTTCTGTTATTTGGAAAAGTTTACAATCCTTTAAACAAACAAAGGTGCTAAGTCTTTTTCGATTCTCTTGAAGGAGCCAGTCGTGGTTAGGAGATCCGCCTGGACTCAGTTCTCCAACTTGATTTTTCTAAGCATTTCTTCTTTGGGAGTATATGGGAGGGGCTGTCATCTGAAAAGATAATGCACATTTTCAAAATGCTTGATGTGGTGTTGCATCTCTTGGGTGCAGGAAAATGTCAGCAGAAGCTAATCTATTCTGTAAGAGGGTTGCTCAGATATTTCTGCATGAAACCTGACAGAAACTAGGCATTTAAGAGAAATTGCTATTTTACTTGCCGTTTACACATATTTTTAACACATTTTATAATAAGCCCTGATGGCCTAATAACCAGTGATTTGTTACGGGCAAGCGCAATCTCTTCATGAATTATTTTTCTTTTAAAGTGCTGCCATTGGTCCCCCTTCCCCCGCCAACCGTGTCATTCAAGTGGCCAATTTATGCGTGTGTGTCTAGATGAAGATTTATTGTAAAATGTCTCTGCAGTATTTGAATAAATGCACTCTACATGCTATACACACTTGCCTGATGACTCAGCTTTTACTCTGCTAAACCTCTTGCCTGAAAAATAATGGTTGAAATGGCCCCAAGGGAGGGAGAGGGAGAGCTCAGGCTGTAACATTCCCTTTTGCTTTTCACTTAGGGTAAAGAGGTCTCAGAAAACTGGAATGCACTTTGCCATGTGCTGCAGTTGTGGCCACAGAGTTTAGGCCAGGGATTGGCTACACAAAACCTACTGGCTGCATGTGCCCCTTTTTGCCACCCACACCTATTTTTCTTTAAACAAAACAAAGTGGAAGTTACGGCTTACCACTAAGAAGGTTTAGAACTGACACTGTTGAAAACGAGCATTCATGTATAGACTAACCTTACCCAGGCTGGTGTCTTCCAGATGTATTGGACTACAACTCCCATCATGGCCGGCAAGCTTGACCAATGCAGTGATGACAGCTGAAATTCAGCAGATCTAGAGAGTATCCGAATAGGAAGGCTGGTACAGACCAAAAATGCTTGGCAGCCTCATTCAGGGCAATTCTGGATTTGATGGGAATTGAGCATTGGCTGTTAGCTGCACCCAGATCCAGCCTAATATAGGCTATTCATGTGGTATGAACAGTGTTTGCTGTTGGGTTCTAGCAGCAGAACAAAAAACATTTCCTGGGAGCAGCCTTTTCCAACCTGGGTCCCTCCAGAGGCACTGGACTACAATGCCCATAATTCCTTGCTAGGATGCTGGTGGAGGTAATAGGGGCGGTAGTCCCACCCCTCTGGAAGGTCTTAGTTTAGGAGAGTTTTCCCTAGGGGCTCTGTTTTGCCCATGGCTTCGAGCAAGTGGAGGGCACAGCTCTGCTTTGGAAGGGTGGCTCTGATAGTACGAAGAAGCTGACCTTAGAAAACACCAAGCGTGTGCCTGATGCTGTCCCTGCAAGGCCCCTTAGGCAGGGTCTGTAGCTACAGTTTAGAAACCTGCATCCTGCCTTCCTCCACAAATGGAGCACCTTGGGTGAATGATAAATGATGCCTTGAAGGGGGAAAATGCGCTCTTGCTATTTATAGCCATGGATATGATGAAGAAGAGAAGTGATAATTATAGAAACAGACACTTCCATTCTTCATCCCTAAGGCCAGAAATAGAAACGTATCTTTACCTGTCACAGCTTAATGTATTTATTGCACACACTCTTGGATTAATCTTCTGTCTTATCCCCAGCAAGAAAGCCCTGGCCTGCTTGATAGAATCCAACCATCTCCTTGTTCTGGCTAATTCTCCTGAAATGGGGGTGGGCAGCATGTGACCCACAGGCAGCTCTCACACTGCAAATCCTGGCAGGGGCAACCACCAGGTTTTGTAAGCAAACTGCCAGGTGGAATGACAAGCTGTGCAAGAGAAGTTTCTATGGATTTTCCACCTTTCTTTTGGCCACAGGTGCCCCACAGTAGGGCTGGGGGGAAGGTGGGAGGGGGGTGAAGGCCCCTGCATCTCCAGTAAGAAAGGTTGACTAGTTGTGTGTTTGGGAGATAGCGCTGAAGGGGGGAGGGGAAGGAAAGTGGAGGAGAAAAGATCGAGAAGCAATGGGAAAAGGGGTAAACAGTAGAGTTAAGAAGTCAATTAAAGGCGAATGGCAGTCGCAAGCAGGCTGGCGAATGGGCGGGGACGCCACTCACTTATACTGGGGTGGGGGAGGGGTGCAGAGTTCCCGCCAAAACCCATTAAAGCTGTAAGTCCTCCCGGCAACAGGCACTGCGCAGGCGCAGCACCCATAGATGTGTGATGCACAGAGACCACGACGGAGGAGTGTGAGCCCCTAGACCTTGTTGGTCCACAACTTGCCTCACCCAGCCAATTAGCCGTGCTGGCCGAGGCTCATGGAGATTCAAATCCGAAACCATCTGGAGGGCCACAGTTTCCTTCTAACTCAGGGAAGGGAGGACCCTCTCTCACTCAGTTTAAACAACTGCTTGGGCAGATAGACCCCTGCACAATAGCTGGGAAATCAGAAAATGGCTGGAGAAAGGGAGATGAATACAGGGAGAGCAGGTGGCTTGCTGGAGAACATGAGGATCAAATTCTCACATATTTGGATCTATCAAAGCACAGAGGGCTGTGGCCTTCAGGGTGAGAAGATGGAGTGTCCCTGAGGAATGCATCTTCTCTTGCTGTACAATACTAGAACATTGTAGCAGAATTAGCTTTTCATTTAGATATGTCCAGTATTCTGGCATTTGAGAAAGGTCTCTCTTCAGTCCATTAGTGGTGTGCACAGATTTTGATCAAGCAGAGGCTGAATATTACTGATGAGACCTGCATTGTGAAGAACTGCCGCAGGGGCAAAAGGAATGGCAGCAGTGCAAGGCCAATGGGAACAGAGACCTCAAATGTGAATGATGTGCAAGCTGTGTGGGACAACCTATTTTGGACCATAAGAACAATTTTTGGTCATTGATTTTTTTAAAGGTACTATGCATGTGCAGCCCTACAACACCCTGCCTGTCTCTTTGAGAGACAGATTCTTCCATGTTATGCTCTATTGTGTTATCACCTGGAACTGAAAAGGGTTTGACACCTGTTATACAGAAAATACTCAAAGGTACAAAGGTGGAAAATGTTCTTACTGTGCACAAACTGGCACTTGTTGGTTCTACAATAGTCACCCCCCTCCTTGAGTCAATAATTGGTAAAAGCTTCTTTAGCAGCAATTACAGCTGTGAGTCTCCTTGGGGAAGTCTCAGCTTTGCTCACCTGGTCCTGCAATGTTTTCCCATTTGTTCCTCACAAAACTGCTCCAGCTTCTCAGGTTGGTGGGGACTGTTGGTGAATGGCAGCTTTCAAAGCTTGCAACAAATTCTCTGCTTGATTCATTCTGGGGCATTCTAGGACATCTAGGTTTTTCTTTGCAAACTACTCCAGTGTAACGTGGCTGCATGTTCACAGTCACTGTCCTTCTGGAAGTAGACATTTCGCATCATTCAAGGGATGCTTGCAGCCTGCGACAGGTTTTTTTCTGGAGTTGCTCTATACTTGGCTCAACCCATCCTGCCCTTAATCTTGAGTAGTTTCCCAGTCCATACTCAAGAAAAACAAGCCCTACCATAAGGAAGGCTGAGCACTGAAGAATTGAGGCCTTTGAATTGTGGTGCTGGAAAAGACTCTTATGAGTCCCTTGGACTGCAAGGAGATCAAACCAGTCAGTCCTAGAGATCAACCCTGACTGCTCTTTAGAGGCCAGATCCTGAGGATGAAACTCAAATACTTTGGCCACCGAATGAGAAGGAAGGACTCCCTGGAGAAGAGCCTAATGCTGGGAACAATAGATGGCAAAAGAAGAAGGAGACGGCAGAGGATGAGGTAGCTAGATGGAGTAACTGAAGCACCTGGTGTGAGCTTAAGGGGGATGGTGGAGGACAGGAAAGCCTGGAGGAGTGTTGTCCATGGGGTCACGATGAGTTGGACGCAACTTTGCAACTAACAACAACTTGATGTTGACACCACATTTCACCATGGGATGGTGTTCTCTGAGCAATGGGCACAGTTGGATCAGCTCCACGCAGTGTTTTACAGCAAGGCCAAAATGTTCCTTGTTGGTTTTATCAGAGCACAAGACCGTTTCCCACATGTTGGCTTTCTCCCATATGCCATTTCACCAACTCCAAATGGTCTTTGATACAGGCTTGTTTGGCAATGGCTTTCTTCTCATCACTCTTCTATAAAGCCCAGCATTCTGGAGCATCAGGATGGTGGCTGTCCCATGGATGGTTTCTCTCCTGGCAGCTGCACAGCTCTCCAGCTCCTGCAGTCACCGCTGACTTCATGCTTCTTTAACTGATGACCTCCTTACCTGGCCCCTGACTTTTGGTGAATGGACTTCTCTAGGCAGAATCATAGCTGAGCCATATTCTTTCCATTTTGTAATAATGGACTTCACAGTGGTCTGGGAAATGGTCCTAGTTTGGGTTATTTTTTTAACCAACTCTGGTGCTGCTGCATAATTTTACCCTGCAATTGACTTAATAATTATTTGGTCTTCATGATGCTCTTTGCTGAGATTTGCTCTCCAAAAAATTCTAGGGCCTTCCAGAAATGAGTGCATTTGATCTGGCATCATGTAGCACTGAAATTGCACACAGGTGGACATACATTAGTGATCTCTGATGGCAGCGGGTTGCACCAGGGTTTATTTAGGCATATCACAACAAAATGTCTGAATATTTATGCAACTGATGAGTGCCAGTTTGTTTTTACTTAATTTTTGTGCCACAATAAAAATATTTTGCATTTTCAGAAAGTGTTGAGTATCTTGTGTACATCAAGCGGTAACAATGGCAATTAAATCTATTTCAATTCCAGGTTGTAACTCAACAGAATGTGGAAAATTCAAGGAGGGTGGACACTTGTGCAAGGCATGGTATAGTTGCCCCAGGCAGAAGATAGTCCCATACCTGCAAGCACATTAAGGCTTCCAGGGTACTTCGAGGTCCTTTTTATTCTGTGTAATTACATCACACAGCTTTCAGCCATATTTATGAATAGGAAAAAAATGAAAAGCAAATTCTCAATTTTGGTACAGAAATGAGGCTGCAGGGAATCTGAACTAGAAGCAGCTCTAATTACTGCAGTCCCCAGCGTTCAGTGGAAGAATCAGGGAAATGTAGGTCCCCTTTCCTTTCCCAGGAAGTCCTCCTGAGAACTACCCAACCTGTCCTGGCCCAACCCCATCAATTATGCAGAAATGTAGTAGACTAGCAGAGTCTGTTGATCCTGTGCAGGGTAGGGAAGAGCTGAGACCTTTCTCAGGAAGGCACTGAAGAGAAGAGAGATATCAAGTGCAGCATGTAACAAATGAGGTTTGTGTCCATTCCTTCTTGCGGTATGTAAATATGGCTCAGCAGCTACACAACTACGTAGACGTTTGAGGATGACTGACCTCCTGTTGGTTCTATCATTTCTGGAACGTATCATTTTATCCATTTCCTATTTGTCAAGACCGAGGCAGCTTCAGGTTCTCCCTGATGGCTAAGGACCAGCACTGCAACCCTGGTAGTTGCAGGATTACTGCCCCAATCTACTGCAGCTGCCAGGGCTCTCATGAGCATCACCTGGGAACCCTGGGGGAAGAGCTATGTAAGAACTGGCTCTTCCCTGCAGAAGCTGCCTTAGTAATGAAGGTACATTGACTTTCTGGAGGACTCCTTACTTGTTGGACCTTTTTCCTGGACTTTGCCAGCTTCCTAATCCTTGCTGGGTCCTTGTCTTGCTTCAGCCCTCAGTACCTGCTCCCTTTGTTTGCATCAAAGATTTTGGTTCCTTTGGCTTATAAACTATCAGCCTTCAACTCATTGACTCTCCTCCATGCTAAGATTCTCCTAAAAGATATCCTGCTGTCTAATTAAGCACACATTTCAAATATGCTCATAACTGCTGATTTTAGAAAAGCTTGGGGAAAAAGTGGGTGAAAGCTATCTGAACATGGTGAAGGCTTTAAATTAACATTACTAGTTCACCAATTATGTAAAATGCTTAATAAGATTCCTTTAGCTCTGAAGATTTAAACCATGCCAACTCAAGCAAATCAGTCTTACCATTTCACTATAAATTGAACATATTTTTACAATTTTGTGCTATTCTAGCAGTAAGAAACAAAGTCTAATTGTAATGGGGAAAAGCCTAGACATTTTATTTTTACCAGGAACAGAAACAAGGTACATGTTTTGCAATTGTTTTCAGAAGGCCCAAAAACTTCTTTATTGGATGTGAAAAACTACATCGCAGAGAAAGTAGACCAGTGAAAAAGGAGATTAATAATTGCCTTACCAAATGTTTGACCCCGTTTCCTACACATAGGAGTTTCCAAAGAGACATTAGTATCCTACCAAATCAAATCAAACAGAATTGGGTGGAGTGGAAGGAGGCAGGGAAAACCCCTCAATGAACACCAGCAACAGAAAATCTCTTGATAATTTCCAGAAGTAATCACAAGTATAATTTCAAAATGCCCATCTAACTCGATCAGGAGAAAAACTAAACTTGTGCTATACTAATGGCTGCATATCTGAAAGATGCAAAAATAAAGAACTAGAAAGTCTATTCTGAAGACTACAATTTAGTCATCTTGGCGAATTTTGGCCAACAGTGTTTTTTAACAAGCAATCCATAAATTCCAAATGTCACTAATGTAGTTTTACAAACATACTACTTCCATAAACATGTAATAAAGGCTATAGCAATGATCTAAAATGAAGACACTGAGCTGATTCTGTGATTATGGATTTAAATAAAAAACCCCAAATATATCTGAAAGGTCAGTGGACATTGGCTTTCACCTTATCGTCTTGAACTGTCAGCAGCTCAATTGTATTATACCATATTTTTGGAGACACACATACTTTCAGATATTCACTGTAGTATGTTTTCCTTATCTTGTGACTATGCTTTTGGTTAGAAGCAAATATGTAAGTAAACATAATCACACAACCCACATTCATTCATTCATATGAATTCCCATGTACTTGAGCTAATAAGTTTCCTTCAAGGGGTGTGTGATAGGCATCCATCATTTTGTGTACATGAAACTGCCTCTTTAGTCACATGACCACAGTAGTATGTAGAAGTTAGTTGTGGGGTCAACGAACCTGCTCCCTGGCCACGCACCTCTTCAGAGTTACAACCTATTTGCAACCAGTGGCAAGAGTGACCTTCTCTTGTCTCGCTCGGTCTCGGACAGTGGTGTGGATTGACCCAGAGAGGGCAAGTGAACAGGCAATGGTGTCATTGGCAAAGGAGTGCCCCTCCCCTCCAGAACTGAAGCAACACTCCCATGTATATTAGCATCCCATGTCCATAAGGAATTACCAGCCTGTAGCCACTGCATTATTCATTGTTAAACCAAGAGCTGTCCACCAGCATTTGAAAAAATGGAGTAAAATTCAAATTAACGCACACATTTAAAAGATCTTAAACCACCCTAATAGTTACTAGTAGGGCATGTATTAAATCAGCCAATTCAACTGATCAAGGTCAGACCACATTAATATTGGTTGCTGTCTTCTATTCATTACTAACACCACATGACATGTATTCAACTAAAGCTGCTGCACCATGTTGTGTTTATGTTCTCATCTAAAATTGGTATGGACAATGCTCTGCATGTTTACTAAATGGCTAACCATGTTCAACCCTGCAGAAATCCACCATGTAATGAGAGTTAGTTGTCCACGGATGCAGATAGTTAGATTATGCCATACAACTGGGCCTCAGTCAAGAGGACCCTTCAAGCCTAAAGCTCAAATGCAAAGTTTTACTGTGTATTGCCAACAGACTGGACAGTAAACGTTTAAGTGCCTATGAATCTTAAAAGTCTGCCATTGATAAAGTATAATGATGCAGCTCACTTCCTAAAGCGTTTGCCCATTTAAAATAAATCAATGGCCAAAATGAAGCTTTAAGTTGTCTTGTAAATACACTTTTGTCCTTTCCACCTTTTCCCACCTCCACCACTTTCTAAATAGAAGGCTGTTCCTTTTTGCCTTAAAACACAAGGGGTAATCCATTTCCCAGATACAGAATGTATCAAAACAACATCCTTATAACAACTGTAACATGCAGAAGAATAGTTTTAATTGACTGCTTATTCCACATTCCAATACCGTTAGGAAACATCCACTCAAGGGCACAATTTCATATTTTCAAACATTCTAAGGTAAATCTGCTCTAGAAAAATGTGGCAGTTAGAGAGAGAAGCAGTGTCTCCTTGTATGCCTTCTAATGAGCCATTTAGGATGGACAAGGACCTGAATTTGAGATGCAATTTGGCACAGAAACTTTCCATGAGGGACAGCTAGAAACTGGGTAACTCCTGGGAAACCAATATTATGGTTCTGGCAGGCAGGAAAACAAATGTGGGAAGAGAAAGAAAAATGGAGGTGGGGGAGCAAAGAAAGGATGAGACTGGAAGTACTAAAAGTCAGAAAAAGTAGAGAAATTGGTAATGCGGAGAAGATGGAAACGTGAAGTCAGCTCAACAGGCAAGAAAAAGGCACACATGAAATATCAGTTCAAAGTTATGTTTCATTTTAATTCACATTGACAATTAATACAACATACATCCAAAGCTTTGCTTTGTCTTAGATTAACTTGAGACAGATTTAAACTGCTTTATTGCTGACTTACATCAGTACAACAAGCAGAATTTTCACGGGTGCTTCAGAAAGTTGCAGTGATTTGGTAATGATGCTGTGAATACCCACATTATAAAAATTCACACTGTACATTTTCTAACTTTTTGTTAGAAAACCACCATCTTTTAGCGTGGAAAAGACCAGGACAGCAAAGAGGGGAGTCTTAATGTTTCCTTTTCAGCCATAAAGCTAATGTTCCTCCTCACGACCTCATCCAGCTGCAAGTGTAAATCCAAGCTCTTAAATCAAATTTAAACGAAACTCTCAGAAGGCAAATTAAAGTCTAGCAGTGTTATGAGGGAGGCTAAACAGAATCAGTACAACTTGTGCAAAACACACTGCTAGGATTGTAGCCAGACTTAGGTCATAGTTAGAAGAGACCTATAACAGGACAAGTCAATAATTACTATATTAAGTCCAACTGATTTTTTAATAGGGTCTACTCTCAGATTAAGTCTGGATTCAACCCTTACAGTTTAAAAATCCTAACTCAGAGGAATCTAACATCTGGAAGAAATAAATGCTTTACAAGAATAGTATATTTGGTTTTATCTTGAGATACCATGAAGGCATTCTGAATTGACGTGATACATATGCCCAGCATATAGTTTTGAGTTTTGCTGTGTGAGGTCTTCTATGGTATCTCTACTTTTTGACATTATACTCTCCAGAATCTAACCCAACTCTCCATTTCAGCTGCATCTTCCAGTCTGAAGCCTTCCACTTTTTCAACTTTGGATCAGAGTAACTAATTTTTTTAGAAGGACGGGGAGTAAAGATAATTACAGGGACATGGCGGAATAAACAATTTACAGTCACATTTTAGAATGTTTGGAAAATACTGTTACAGAGACTAGATGTCCCAACAGCCAGGATAGCAGAAAATACTTGGAGAACCTAATCCATGCTGAAATCTTAATCAATATTCTCTATTAATTAGCTGTCATTAGATTCAATATGATATTCTAGTGTATGTTGGATAGAGAGAAAAAGGAATCGTCATGGCCACACAACCTTCCGCTGGATCACTAGTTTTTGGCATGGCTAATAAAAGGATAATACTGAAGATACACAGCTGTGAGGAGATAGTTAATACTGTCGTAACTTGTTAAAAGTTATCAAAGCAGAGTAACTGTGCAAGTCTGCTCAGAAATATACCCCACAGAGTTCAATGGGATTTAATCTCAGATACCTGTGTACTTGATTGCAATGCCTCTGGAGTCAGGTTAGGAAGTAAACAAACTGGCACCGTGCTTTGATCATGTGATAATGTGCTTTGAAAGTTTTAAAAACACTTTGTCATAGCCAGATTTAATAAAGTGTTCTAGCTGGCTGGCTGAGTTATAAATATAATGCTGTGTAACTACATACATGAAGACATGCCTATCTACTCAAATTTCACATACTTCAGAGTTTTCAGTTAATTTACATCCCATTTGTTAAGTGCATTCAAATAATAGAAAAGACACAAAAGAGTCAGTTCCATTTTCAGTGTTCAGCAAGGCCCAAATTTTTCCACTAAATTCATCTACTGTGATCACTTAAAGCAAGCCCATATTTGACTCCTAAAATGGTATAGCACATGTTTTGACTTTGCAGTTACATAAGCCTGCATCCACGGCTTCTGTACAAGGATTTCCAGTCCACACAGGGCCTTTTAAGCACCCCGTTCTATCAGCTGCTCTTGGAAATGCCTTCAGGCTCCAGGTCAGGGCAGCTCTCCTTGAGATACGAAAGTCTTCTCCCAGGCTTCTCCTATACAGGCGTGAAGTCAAACTTTCCATTTAAGCACAATGAGTGCAGGTGTTTGTGCTTGTGCGTATTTGAATTCTACCTAATACTTGCATCAAGTAATTGACATAAAATCCACAAAATTTACCTAGTATTGCCACTGTTCTTTGCTCCAGCACTGGTTTATCCTTTCTGTAATCCTATTAGAGTAGAGTCTGGGAAGAACAACTTTTTGAGGAGGAAGAGGAAACAAACTAAAAAATGCTGTCAATAATAAGAGGTCTGTAATAGAAAGAATTAACACCAACAAGATGGTGAAAGATGCCACACAATCCCCACTTAGAAAATTAATTTTGGTACTTAAATACATGTTGGTCATTGGAAAAGCTTTCTAAAAGAATTCTTGCAACAGGGAATGGCTTGCTGCTGTTGGACCTAGCCTAATCCATTTTGAAGGTTAGGATTTGTTTAGAGTTGGAAAAGTGAAGGCCAAGCGAACCATTTCTTATCATGTAGTGTGCCTTCAAAGCATAGAGGGCCTTGCGAAGTATAAAGCAAGTGTGGGAAAGCTACTGCAGCAGAACACAGTGTAACTGGGGCTTTTTGTATCCACTTTTAATGGTGCATAAAGAAGGCCAAGATTAAAGAACAGAGGTCAACAACCAAGGGTAACACCAAAATAGAACTGCTTTGAGTTCTGCACTCTCTAGTCCTGTAAGTTTGTCATCTGATATATATTTAAATCCATCCTTCATTACACATACATGTCAATAGCTCAGGCAGTGCACAAGCAACCCCTTTTTCACAGTCAGTAGGAAATGGTCAAGCCTATACATGAAGTGCACTATCAACCAACTGGGGGTGGGGGATCACGTGATTCTATTCAAGAAGATATGATTTTGCATTTTGAAGTCCCTAGTGGCAGGAACCCAGAGAGACACATGAATTAAAGAATACAGTATAAATGCAGAGTTACATTATAAGCCACAAGCAACACATGAATCAATTATCACCTGTTGGAATAGACTATTAGGAAACTTTTCTGCAGATACCCACTGTAACAAATGAGCCATGCTTCTGTGCAAATTTCATTCAATTGTAGGGATGGGGCACTCAAGAAGAAATATGTAATATAAAACCTTTCTGTTCACACATATTTCACAAAGGCATGCAAGAATGGGGTGGAGGGGAAGAAAAGAAATGGACAGGAAAACAAGTTCCTCTTCAGGAGAAACGGACAGAATAAACCTACAGGAAGGGAAATGAATCTAATGCAGGTTCTCCTACCCAGTACCAACCGAAGGTGTTAGATTACAACTCTGGTCATCATTGGGGAAGCCAGACTGGGGAAGGCTGACCCAACAGAACAGAGATCCTGTCTTGTTAGTCAACAGTGGAATATGTGTAGAAGAGTAACTCCTGAATTAAAGTTGCTGAACATGGTTCAGATTATTGGATACATCTATAAGCACAATGCTTTGCAGGAGCATTTACTGTATACCAAAATCCTACTTCTTGCAACACACAGTGCTGCATGAGTAGTGAAAAAGGTGCTTGGACATTCTTTTTAGGCAGCATTTTACCATTATTTTTATATATTACATCACTTAACAATTATTTTAAGGAAAAAGAAGGTGAGGGATAGTTACATAGAAAAACCGCTGTATGTGTCATAACCACCCAACTATTTGCCTATATGCAATTTTGGGATTTGAACTCTACCCTTTTTAAAATAAGAGATAAAATGTTGCCCAAAAGTCTAAAATCATCTTTACACATTTCTGCATGTGTTTTTTTAAAGTTAGATCTATACATTAAAATAGTTCTCATAGTTAAAGATACAATTTGTATCAACAGTTAAAGGTACTTTCTGGTTCTACGGGGTCTTCAAGTTGCAGCTGTGCACCCAGGTATCCACAATAATATTGTAAACTTGGGAATCATCACAGTGTGTTGTTCCGCAGGGAATCCTAGTGTGTAAGCAGCTGATCACAATGCCTACAGAGAAGTCACTGACTGAGATATCTACTAGTAACTAATCTATGTAATATTACATTTTAAAAGAGCTAGCAGAACCCACGACTTAAACCAGAAATCTCCCTTATTCATACTAGAAGAGACGGTTCTGTCTGCTTCTAAAACTACATTGTTTGTGAAAAGAATCAGGCCTACATAATACAACAGGCCAGACAAACTAACGCTGAGAACATCTACAGTATTTCACCAAAGGGAAAAAAAAAGAATGGACCATTCTTGGCTGTAATACTATTACTACAGTGCAGTCAATAAAAAGTGTTGCATATCGTCCACACAACATAAAACCTTCTTAGGCCAGCCTTGATAAATAGCATGAAAAATACACAGTATCTTATATACAAAAATTGCATTGAGAACAATTCATTTCATTAAAAACAGCTATTTTTTATGAAAAAAACATTTTGTCCAGTATACCTGTGCATGAATTAGAAGAGCAAGAGATACACCTAAAACAAATCTCTGTTTTGTTGCCATTTCTGATGAATCAAAGTGTGTCCATCAACTGGATAATGTTGTTGCCTAAAGTGATATATTGGTAGCTTAATTTTAGACAACTGTGAGTTGGACAAGCTCACTATCTTCCAAACCTGCACGTAAGGCTTTTACGTTCTACATAATAAATTAGTGATAGCAGGTTTTTCCCCTAATGATTGCTTCTGCTTGCACCAAAATTAACAGTAATAAACAAATAATTTCAAATAAAACCCCAAACCAAACAAATGAAAAAGTGCCATACTATAAAGTACTAATATATTGTTACCCACTTCAGTTTCAAAACTGGTAATTCACACATAAAAAATAAAGTCAGTGCTGTAGAAGACCTTTGTTTTCTATAAATAAAATGCACAAATAAAATCACACAATAAAATTAAATAACTTAATTGCAAAATAGTTCCTAAGAAGCTTGGCTTGATAAAACCGTTTGCTGGGTGCATAAAATCCTCTTCAGTTTCTGCAGCTATTAAAAAAACATTTACACTTGGAGGACAAAACACCCAATAATTTAATAAACAAGTAACAATATTAGAAAGTGCTGCATATAAAACCCCCAATGCACCAAAGATTCTTATCTAGAGACGACAGATATAATAATATATTAAACTGGAAAGAGCTTCCAGTTAAGAGATTAAAAAAAAATCAGGTGAGCATTTCTAGCAGATCCTGTTACTTCCAATGCATGGGGTTGTACATACGGATTCCATGGCACAGTATTTCACATAAATGGATTACTAGATGACCTCCTTGCTGAGAAGGAGATCACAAATGCTATTGTAGCAAACCTCCCTCAGCATTACAGCTGAAACTGAACTAATAAGACACCACAAAGATGCATCATTGTTGTCAATACCCTAGCTGAGATTTTTCCACTAAAATGGCTGCAGCGAGCTGCTGAGCGTCTGTCATGTGAGGATTCCTTTTCATGACGATTCTCACAAGGTCTGGGGGGAAAATGTTGCACAGGTTTATGTAAACCTTTTCGCGGCTGTCCTGATACCTTGGAGGGTCCTGTGGCATTCCGCAGTAAGGTATCCGCCAAGGCTGATCTTGCTGCTCAGGTAAGCTTTGGAAGGCAAACTGCTCGTAACATGGCTGGCTGGAGTTACTGGGCAAAGAGTAAGTTTGGCGATAGCCGTACGCATCAACCCCATAGCCCTGCCTATCCCAGCTACCAAGCCCATCCTGGGCAGAGTATGCTTTTCTTTGCCTTAATGGAGAATTATCGTACAAACGCGAGTCTGATATGCTGTCTACCCTCGTGGACACGAGGGCTCTCCCCAGATGCATGCTCTTTGAGGGTTGTGAATTCAGAGAAGCGGGGTAGTCACTGGGACAACTAGAACGGGCACCAACGCTGGGATGTTGAAGATGCACAGCCATGTAAGAAAGGGGAGGCTTGTGATGATGCTTTGGTTCTTCGTGACTGTAACTTTGCACTCTGGTTAGTGTATCGTGGTAACCCTGCAGGAAGGGCTGTGAATTGAGGTGGCTATGGGGATGCATATGTTGGCACTTTAAATTCTCTTCCAGCTGGGGATCAGGAGAACTCATATAGGATCGATCACTGTAGCCCATGTAGGAATCACTGCTGCCACAGCTCATGCTCCCTTCACTACTACAGTCAGAGGCTACAGAACTAATTCTGTAATCTGTATCCAGAGAGAATCGCCTTTCAGGGCTTCGTGGACCAGAGATGCTTAGGTTTGAATATGCACTCATCATAGTATAGTAGCCTACATCCACAGGAGACTCACATTTGGGATACTGCTCATAAGGCATTGGCGTTCCATGATTTTTGGTTCCCACAATCACTGGAGGATACAGTCCCTGTGGTCTTTGATCCTGAGGCGAGAAATGAACTCCAGATGGAAGGCCATTGCTTAAAGGTGCAGTACTTTGGGGTTTTGCAGCAGCAGAATTCGGTATACTAACTAAAGAAGGTACAGACCTGGTTTCCAACTTGTTTTTGGTGGGAAGCTTTTCCTCCAAGTCTTGGTAGACTTGAGTCCTTATACTAGGATCGGATTGCCTCTTTGGAGCAGCTCGCTTGAGATCTGAAGTGCTATCTATCTTAGTGCTACAAGGAACACTGTTGCTTTTCACCAGCCCTCCTTCGCTAGCAGCTTTGGCCACTGTGTTTCTAGACATGGCACGGAGTTCATCAGCTACTGACCTCTGAGGCTGATTCCCTCGTTCTGGATGGTAGTATTTGCATTTGTGTCCATAAGTGCATTTCTTCCCTGTATAAAAACGGAAAACAAAGGAGAAAGGAAACAGATTTTATTTCTATAGCAATTTTAAGAGCTTATAGGAAAGGGACTCAAAATAAAATAGCCAAAACTGTGCATAGTGAATTAAGCAGATCAGGAAGAAGGTTTTCAGGATATCTAAACATTCTGCAGTTGGGTCAGAAATGATATCAGCAATTGTGTGTGCATGTGTATGCTAGACAGTGTGTGTGCATGTGTGTGTGTGTGTGTGTGTGGGGAGAGAGAGAGAGAGAGAAACAATTTCAGAGCAACATAATAAAGCTGCATGCTAATTAGTTTACTATTTATTGTTTTAATTTCTAGAAATTGCTATTACCTACAGCCAGAAAACTGGATAGAACAATAAAGAACATTTTCAAAATGACAAAGTTGCATGTCAAAATACTGTCTTGCACAAGGCTCCTGGGAGCACCCTTGGATGAGTGGGAGTTTGAATTTGAATTTGCACCATAACTACCTGACAACATTGGCTGACTGGACTACAGATTCTGAAATATTTCTTTTGATTCTAGGACTGTACTCAAATCAAAGGACTGGGCTAAGGGCTTACTCTGCATTTAAGTATTATCTAATGAAAGGTCTGACAAAATTTTGTAACAACTTGTCCAGAAAAATTAGCAATCAAACCTTAACAAATTCTTAAATGATTAATTAATCATTTCTTACACTATATTTAGTTAAATACAATTACCATATGGACATGGCTGCTTTTTATGTTCAGGTACAACAGGTTTCTTCCTCAGAAAATTATCCAGACTTGGTCCATGGCGGCCAAGAGGATCATCAGGAGGCATGAATCTACAGGACATAAAATAAATCAGTAAAAAAAAGCATTCAGCCTCCCAAATTTTACATGTATTCCTCACAGAGTTCCGAAAAAACCCCCTAAACTTAAAAACATAACATATAAACTTATGTTTTACAGCAAAGATGCATTAAACTTTAAACTTTTAAAAAACTACTCTTAGATATAAAAACGGAAAATTATGCCTTTGCATAGTACTGCAGATGGTAGCCCAACTTGCACGTCAAGCAGACTGATGTTCCATTCTGGAAAGCAGAGGAGAAGGCGCATGGCCTCCTAATCCATCGCTCAGTCGGACTAGCAACTGATGCACGTGCTCTGTGCAGAGGCCCACACTGCAGCAGGGTGTTCCTCACGGGCTGGTTTTGTTCCTCATGGTATTCAGTATCTACATGAAGATGCTGAATGGGGTTCCCTGTGTTCTGTAGTGCGTTGCCATCGGCTTGTTGATGACTACAGTGCTACTGCTCCTTTTCGTTTTCAACAGGTGGGACTGCCGATGTGCTAATCAGTGTCTGCATGAGACAATGGACTGAACAAAGGTTAATACACTAAACCTTTTTCTAGACAAATGCTGCTAGTAGGCGATTCTTCTGACCAGGTGGAGGGTGCCACTCCCTGGGGTTTTTTGTTCTGGTTTACTTAAATTCTGTGACAAAATAAAAATAGTTTGCACCTCCAGAGTACTGAGTATCCTGTGTACATCAAGTGGTATGCTGTTAAACCATCCTGAGACTACGGTAAGGGACAGTCCAAAAAGGTTTAAATAAATAAATAAATAGATAATGGCAGTTATATCTATTTGAATGCCAGATGTGGAAAGGACAAGGAGATGGGTGGATGAATACTTCTACAAGAGACTACAGGTGAAGGGTACGGCAAGAATGGTAAACCTGCAATTGTAAACCTGCATGTGCTTCAGTCCCATCCAGTTAAATGTGCTCAAAATTCATTCCATTTCATGCGTGTGTGTGTGTTTGCTCATTCATAAAATGCTCAGGTCTTGTTGGCAGTTTCCAAGAAGAGAAAAGAAAAAAATGAAACGTACTTGTCATTGACAAATGAATACATCAGCAGCCGTTCATCAATGAACTTCTTCCACTCTGGCTTTTCATTAGCTAGATCCCTGTAGTTATCGTTAGATACAATTATACCATCTGACTCAAAGGCCAACTTCACTATGAATCTGTCATCATAGCACACCACCCTTCTCCCCTGTACACGGCGGGATGGGGTGAACACAAGAATTTTTTCTTTTTCTAATTTACGCAAGATTTCTTGATCTAGAAATATTAAGAGAGAAAAAAGTAAGTGCTAAAAAAGAAGTAAAGGTTTAATTTAGCCTATTGAACTTTTCATGTAATAGATCAGAATATAATAAATCAATATGAGAGATCAAAATATCAGACTAGGATGACTTGGGTAAACTGAAGCAGCTCTAATTCTGTTGGAAGCAGATGGCTGACACCCAACAGCACATTAAAAGTGTTTCTATTTCAATTGCCATTACCCCCAGGCATTACAGTCACATTTACACTTAGGACCAGGTGTTACTGCAGCCCAAACCAGTCATTCAGATTAAAGAACTTTCTTATTTACTTTGCTGAAGAATAAATTAACATAATGAAGTTTCTACTTTCCCATTTAACAGAATGTAAGTGATCATTAATCACACAGCTATGTATATTTAACTTATTATCAAAATCAGAGTTTGAGCAGTTTCCTTCTCCACAGGATAAAACCAACTCAACAATGAGCTCCCTTTTCATCCCTTGGATACTGCATCTGAAAGAGATGATAAGGAGTCACGTATATAGTTACTTAAAATAAGATGACCCAAGGCTGAATGATGCTGTTACAGCAGTCTGGCAATGGTACCTGTGACCTAGGAGGAACCACACTGGAACATTCAAGGGACAGCTGGATAGCCATTTGTCAGGGAGGCTTTAACTTGGAGTTTGGACTCAATGGTCTTAAAAGTCCCTTCCAGCTCTATTTTTCTATGACTCTATGCAGCCAAGTGTTCAGAATAAGGTCTTCCATCACCATGAAGCAGCTTCTAATGACAACCCTGTACAAACTCTTTACACACCATTTTTACCTGACAGTATTTTACAACAATTTATTTTAGAACAAAAATCTTCCTAAGATGACCCAGAAGGAACTTCAAAATATATTATTTATCATTATTTTTAAAAATCTATAAACCACCCTTCACTCACAAGGGATTTCAGGGCACTGTACATAACAATATAGCAAGCAGAAAGCACAATAATGATTCAGTTGATGATAAAATCAAAACAATGAGCATAACAAAGTCATCTAGATACCTTATCCACAAAGTAATATGAATCAAGTAGGATACTTTATACAAGCCTTTTTAAAGGTCTGCAGAATGATAGTGGGGTAGGTGACGAATTACAGCATCAGAAGCAAAGTAGCCATCCAGTTACTTCATTCTATTGCGGGATTCTGGCTCACTGCACCTGACTTCTGTACTCCCAGCAAAATGAGTGGTATTTGTGCACACAAGTGTCATCCCTACCCACATCAGAGATTACAGTCATGTAGGAAACGTTAAAGTGTGAACTAGTCAGAGGGTTTCCTGGAAATACAGAGAGTGGAGATTTACAACAACTGTGGGTGTGATTCAAAGCTGCACAAATGGAAGACAAAATGTAAAATCCCTTTCTTGTTTCATTCTTCACTTTGCAGCTCCAAAAGTATCTCCAGAATTTGGAAGACACCCATGAACGTAAGTGTGAAGGGGGGGGGGGCGTGCAGAGAAGGCTGCAACAATGCAGAAAGTGACACAGAATTAGGTACAGGGTACTTTCCATGGTGAAGCCCTGCTTCCTCCTGGTTTTCAGTGATTCCCCCTTCTACTTCATTCCCCCATGCTTTTCTGAAAGAACTCTTTGAGATCCCTAAGGATGCCCTTTGGGGTACTGGTGGGAAGAGAAGTCAGGAAAACTCCATTTCACAAGCAACATCAGAACTTCTGATTTCTTTATTTTTGTAACAAATGAACACATTCTCACAGAAATAGTCGAACAAATGCATTGTACCTCATGAAGGCATATTGCACAAATCATACATGAATTTACTGAAGACAGTTTTCTCGAATCGACGTGAAGTTCTTCCCTCTCTCATGTAATGCTACAATCAGGGGTCATCCAATGCAGTTGCATGATAGGAGACTCAGAACAGATGAAAGGCAGTGCTTCTTCACCCAGCATGTTGTTAAACTATGGGATTTGCTATGACAAGTGATGGCTAGCACCTTGGACAAATACATAGAAAATAAGTATGGCCTTTTTTCCTATATGCCCTCCCGCCTCCTAAGATGGGCAGCAGAGGCCCTCCTCCGGGAACCCTCTTTGAAAGAGGACAGGAGACAGAGTACTTGGAGGAGACCTTTCTCTGCAGTGGCGCCCCAACTATGGAACGCGCTCCCTAGAGAGGTCTGCCTGGTGCTGTCATTATACACTTTTTGGTGCCAGGTCAAGACCTCTTTATTTGATCAATATTTTTAATGTCAATCAAATTTAATTGTCTATGATTTATCTAATTTATTTTAAATATGTCAGTTTTATGCTCAGTTCGTGGTATAGCTAATTTATTTTGTCTTCCCACAGGCACCTCGCTTTGGCCTGATACAGGACTCTTGTCACATTTGTAATGAATAGCACATATGCAGTAGTAGTCTACCCTGTATATACATATCAAAGGGTATGTTCTTACCTCCCCAATCTTGATGATATGGCCATTTCTGAATGCGACAAATCAGCAGAGGTCCACTAATTTGTTTCTCATTCAGGATAAGAGCATTTTCATTTATTCAGGGTTACTACCAGCAGCACCAAATCTCTGTTGTATAAGCAGTGGGTGCTGTAAATAGGATGGTGGGGGCACAGCATCTGACTAGATACTACCCTATGCCCTTATTTGCAACTGGAAAAGGCAGTTTTCCATTCATCAGGATCTCCATTAGTTTACACCATGGCAGGGAGGAGAACCATTTATAGAGAACATTCTTCTTGAAAGCTTTGACAAGGAGACATGATTTAAATACTTAATCAGAAACTGATTAAGGGAGCAATGCTATGGCTGGCTAGAGAATGCTTGGAGTCACAGGACTATTCCGCCTAAACTTGCACAGGACTGCACCTGTATTCTTTTTTAAAAATTAAAACGCAATAATCTAGGAACCAGTTTCCCGACTCAGGGCCAAGGTCTATCAACCCTAGCATTTGGCTCCGTCAGTGGCTCTGAGAAGCTCGACAGCAGGTTCTGACAGAAAAGGGCACCTCCTTATCTGCAACATTTGGGAATCAGAAATATAACTGGCTCTGAAAATGCAGGTTCCAATAAATATTCTCATGTATCTTCCATAAATTTAAGATCACTCCCACAAATACCACATCAATCCTGGCAGAATACCTTAAAATGTGATACGTTTGCATTACAGAAGCTACTTCAGAGTGTGCATTTTGGTGTGTGTACATAAGCATTTGGTCTTTGAAGTATTTCCTCAGTCAGCCAAACAAAGTCATCTTAGCATTGCCACAGACTCTCTAAAATCAAGCTGCTGAAGGCAGACCAGAGTATACCTGTAATGAGAGCATCCGGTCGGGACTGTTCTTTTCTCCATGCTGGCACAAACACCGTGACATCTTTGTGGCCTCTTTCCAAAAACCAGTCCACTGCCAGTTTTATCCCTCGACATGAGAATACTTCTTTGTTTCCATGGCTGAAACAGACATCCCAAAATCATTTCTCTCTTATATTACAACCATCACATATAAGTATGGATTAAGTTTACCAAATACATCAGATTATTTGTAACATTTCTTCCCAAATTCAGTTTGTAAACTAAGGTCACTTGCAGTTCTTCCTCACTGCTATAGACAGCCTCAAATCACTTAGGATTTTTTAAAGAAAGACACCTGCAAATTAAGTTAATAGTAAAGTGTGTAAATACAGTACAGGCAAATATTCAAAGCAGAAATGGGCCTTTTCATTTTGAAGTATTCTAAAAAACACAGCAAGTATTTTATGTGTGATTTTTATTATATGAATCTCTCTTTACACAACTTTTCAGACCAACAGTGTTTCTCAAAAAGCATATCTCAATCGCACAAGATGTTGTCCTTGGTGCATTGCTTTACAAGAGAGCAAAGTTCCTTCTCCAATATCATTCTTTGAGAATTACAAAAGTGCATCTTACTTCTCCTCAGAAATGTTCTTATTGTGATTTTCTAATGGGGACATTCCAGGCAACGCAGTATTTTAATCCCGGAAATATTAGGTAAGCAAGCGCAGTGAGGGCCATGACTGGCCAAATGGTGCTTCGGCTAGTGGCTGCTGCTACAGAAAGGACAGAGATGCAAGCATTGAAGCATGGCCAAAATGTGGTTGGGAACGGAATATACTTCACGTGATCAGTCAGAAATGCCCTAATAAAACTTGGGATGCAACTATGTTTTGAGGTCTATTTATAAGTAGAAGGTAGTATCAGTTGTCTGACTGAAAGCCAAGAGACTGCTTCTCTCTTTTAAAAAACTTTTACAGGCATGAACAATCTAGCAACTTAATGGTTTCTTCCAAAAATGCAGTTCACTTGCCAATTTCATTCAGCCACAAGAGCATACTTCTTCATTTCTGTGGCTGAAACAGATATCCCATTTAAAAACTATGACCCTATCTGGACAGGCAGAACATCACAATGGTAATTCATGCTCTGCTAACCCCTTGATTGAATTATTCTAATGCTCTCTATGCGTGGCTGCCTTTGAAGATGGTCCAGAAATTTAGTTGGTCCTGAACAGAGCAGCAAGGCTGTTGACAAGGACTGGTCGTTATGAACACATAACGTCAGACCTCTGTCAGCTTCACTGGTAACCAACTGAAATCTGGGCCCAATCCAAAGTGCTAACATTAATATTTAAAGCCATGAACAGCTTGGGGTCTGGTTATCTAAAGGGATTTGTCTTCCTTTATGTGCTTATCCAGTCCCTAAGTTCATCTTCCGAGGTCCTTCCTGGGGAACCCTGGGATTGGCTTCCCAAAGAGGTTCACATGATACCTATTCTTTTCTGTACCAGCTGAATACCTTTTTATTTACCCATTATTTTAATAAGCAATGTAATTTTAATGGGGATTTCACACAGTATTATTTTAGAGCTACTTGCCTTGCCTTTGGTTTAGTGAACTGAGCCTATGGAATAGTTTATATTATTATTGCTATACATTATGGTTTTAATATTGTTTTATTGTATATTTGTTATTTTCTTACTATACTTTGGCTAATGGGCAGGATAGAAGTGTGTGTGTGTGTGTGTGTGTGTGTGTGTATAAAATAAAACACAACTCCCTGCCTAGACTCTCATTTCATTCCAGTAGAGATGTGCCTCCCTTCCCTGTGGCAACAGTTCAAGTTCCATGCTTCTCCAGCTATTTCTATGACTGCACACACAAGACTGTCTGTGGATTGCCAGTCTTGCAAACCTGAAGGCCTCAGATATTTTCAAGGGTTGTTAATGTGCCGCCACTGGTTTTGCATCGTGCTCAGTTAAGCGTTTTTGGGTTGTATGTATTTCTCTCCAGTATAACTGACAAGATGATGCTAAATTCTTTGGAGGTGTGCAGTGACTTGATTGGCAAAGATAACGTCATTTACATATAGAAACATTCAAACAAGAAAAAAAGCATGCCAGAAGGGGTCTCCTGGGCTATCTGGGCTCCAGCTGGCTCTGCTCATGTAATCCCCAATATGTGGAACCTCTGAGACAGGCTACAACATCTAGGGCTTTTACTTTGAAGACATGGTGAGCGCTTCAGGAGAGCTTTCTTCCTACAGTGGAACACAGAGATATCCACCACTGTGAGCAGCTTTAAAAACTGCATGGCAGCTTTTAGGCAAGAGTGATCCCCATGCACCCATTTCTCAAGCACAATCATGATTGTGGCAGAGGGGAGGATGCAATGGTGAAGCAAAAGGGCAGAAATATTTGGTTGCAATTCTAGCAACAATGCTGGGCAATCCTTGGTTGGCCAGAGAAATGATCTTTGAAAAGCCCCAGATGATCAAGCCTTTCTCAAAGGCTCCATGGATGTAAATGGCTTTATTTTCAAAATGGAGCTCATGCATTGCTCACTCCTACCAAACACATTTATATGGGAACAAGCCTCATTGAATTGGATGGGCCTTAGTCCTAAGATTCATGCATAGGATTGCACTCTAAAGTTTGCTTCAGCATAAGTATCTTGTATAGGAAAAAACCCTTTGGTAACAGCAATCAAACAGATACTAATGGATTTGTATCTTTTGAAAAGAATGGGGTACAATATTCCACATTCCCAGTTAGGACAGAACTCTCGGGTATCTGGTGTCATTGGTTCTTTAAGAAGTATTGACTCAGATTTGCTTTTGTTTCTTGAATTTAGTGACCAATCAGTATAAAAGATCAAATGTCTTATCTTTCACTGCATTTCAATGCTAATCCATTTAATTCTGTATTAGCATTTTTCTTAAGAACTTTCCCACCCATTATAATAAGTAAAACTGCTGAACTCTCTTCCAGTCCTCACATTATCAGCTCTGCATCTCCAGATGCTGCCAAACACCACAGGAAAGTAAAGAGTATATGGAAGCTTTGTCTTCATCATTACTAATGCTTCCTTAAAGATGCCATGTATTAACTTCAGAAACCTTCACTGCCAAAGCATCTAGAACAGGTTTTAGAACTACTTGTTTTCATTTTAAATAAAATGTCAGTTATGCCACTTACCAATAACCCCTAAATGTTTTTCTTAGCTCACCAATAAGCCTAGTTCATCAATAAGGACTTTCCCAGTAAAATTCTGATGCCAGAAAAAAAATAATGCTCATACATGGGGGACTGTGAAACAGCATCCACAACATTTGGAAAAATAAAAGTTTAAAATTAAACTTTTAAAATAATAATAATTTTAATTATTTTAAACTTTTAATTATTTATGTATGTTGTATGTATTCTTTGTGAGCTGCCCCGAAGCTTTGTTGTGATGGGGGCGACATAGAAATGTTTTAAATAAATAAAATCCTAACGGCTCTGTGCTAATATATGTTTTCAGAGCATCTATATATGGAGCTCATAAATTACTCATCTTAGAAGAGCTGATACATTCAAGAGGGCCCAAGTTTGTTTTTGTACCATTTGAAGTAGAAGTTACCTTCAATGAACCCATCAGTTAGTCTTACACTGGAGTACATGAAGCAACTGATTACCTGCAATTAATTCATGTAATTAACTGTCAGTTATATGCTGCTGTAAATAGCAACAATAACTTCAAACATCAAGGCAGCTTAGCTTTGGAGCACATTTTCACTAAGCTATAATCATGTAAATCCTGCCCTGCCCCCATGACTTGGAGCTACAAGATGTTGTGGTAAATATGGCTTGAAAAAAAAATATTGAAGCCTTTTGGCTGCAATGGGAGCAAATGATATTTTTTCTATGTCTTGAGCCAAAAAAAAAGTCCTGTTTATCATTATACTGTTTATTACAGTATTACGTTTGCCATCACCAGTTTCAGGGAAACAGGAACATGTCACTTGATGTAATTGGATGTACTTTTAAGAACAAGCTTAGCATGGTTCAGTACTCAGATGGCAGCTATAAGACCAGCTTCATGAAAGCCTGATTCCATTAAAGGCAGTGGGAAGCCTGCAATTAACTGCCCTAGGATTTCAAGCAGAGGTCTTTATCCTTATATGATCACTATAGGATTATTCAAAAAGAACTGTGTTCTGGCCAAATGTCAAGTATATAATTACATTCAGTATACAGAAAACTGCCCTTTCAGGTGAAGACGACATAAGGTTGCCTCAAATGATAGCTTTGCCTTAGTGGGATTCACAAATCTGGGCAGCTACTTTTGGACAATTTCTCTTACACACTTGTCCCTTGTTTACACACACACACACACACACACACACACACACACACACAGAGTACTCTTTAAGAGGTGGGAGACCTCTTAAAGACCTGATATGCCTCAGAGGGTTGCAATATAGAGGTGTGATTATTACAAGTCAGATACCATGAATGGACACAATCCATTATTCAGCTTAGGGTGTTTTAGTTGGTCCAGTGAAATGAGGGACGGGTCAGAGATTTTATATATTACTTCTTATTTACTAGCTCAACCTAATGAAGAAAATGCAGTCCTTAAAATGAAGAGCATCAACTAATGTTTACGCTACCCAACAGATCTTGACATATTTATGAACTTGGCCAGAAAGTAAATAAAATATTTATATGATACCAACAATGGTGGAGCTGGCTCTGCACTATAGCAAGGTAAAACAAATTGCTTTCAGTGGCATTAGAAGGCAGAGATGGATGAAGACAGGAACTAGTGTTTGAAGAGTACACCAAGAACGTTTGAAATATTGGCCCTAGTACAGAGAGCCCAGTTCAGTGCCATTCCAGTCAGCAAAATGCTTGGTTCCCACTAACCAGTGCTGATGATGTTTTAGCGCAGTGATGGCGAACCTATGGCACGGGTGCCTGAAGGGGCACACAAAGCCCTCTCTGTTGGCATGCGATCGCCCCAGAAGTCACGCGCATATTTGGAAAGATTAAGGGCGCCAGGCAACTAAGTCACTCATTAGCTGCCTGGGATTTGCTTGGACTGGCTGTGATTTTAGCAAAAGGTAGAAAATACACTCAGGTAGAAAATACACTCAGATGCCTTTTTCAGAGCTAGCCAAAAGCTGGTGATCAGTGGAACATTGCCCCCTTGTGCTGGTGGTCAGCAAATCCACGTTTTATTTCAGTGTTGGCACTTTGCGAAAAATAAGTGGGTTCTGAGTTGCAGTCTGGGCACTCGGTCTCTCGCCATCACTGTCATAGAGAGAAGTACTCATGAAACCAGGCAACTGAATGCACATGCAACTGGAACGTCAATGGAACTTCCAATATCATTGGATGCAGCTGGGAAAACATTTAAGAAAGCCCTAGGTGTCTGTGTGGCTCCCTTAGACATATGGAAGCAGTTACATTGAGTTGTGACCCTAGTTCATTAAAGAATTACACTTGAAGAACTATATAGCGGCACCTGAGATCTTTCTGAAGGGTAACAAATGTGTATTTTTTCCTCAGTAACATAATTATTATTTAGCAGGACTTGAAAATAAGATCCCTGGAACTTGGTAGCTTCATGCTAGCATCTAGAAATCTTAAATACGTTTTCTGGCTTATTCAGAGATGTTATCTAAAATGGTGATTCTGAGTCCTAGATAACGGAAGCTAATTCTTGGAATTTGATTTCAGGCTTGGTATTTGGAGTTTCATAACTCATAGTTTTAAAGGACATACTTTTTGCCATTTCTTTTCCCTGCTTCTGTCAGTAATATTTAAAAATATTATTACTTTCACCATGCTGTAAGTCCATAAAATGAACAGTTGCTCCAGTATTTCAACTTCCAGTGTTTTAAAATAATAAGCAAAAGCTTAATCAATATCTTTGGGAAATCCAAATTACTTTGAAGAGACCCTTAATATTTTATTGGTTTTTTTAAAAGAAAGTAAACATGATTCAATTTCAGTGAAAAAACCTACCCATCTGGATTCATACAAATCATTAGACCAGTGAGAGATATTATAAACACTAAACATTATAGCATTATGGAGAAAAGATACATGAGAGTAAAATGGATCAAATATAAAATTATAGACAGTGCAAAAGAAACTTCTGAACATAAATCACATATTTCAGGGCAAACTTGCTGCATTCAGTTTTGCTGTTCTGAACATGACATACCTTGAGGATCATTGTTCCTGGTAGGACAGCAGGGTAAATATCAATAAATAAATGCCTCTTCTCATGGGGCAGAAAATACACTGGGAAGCATCCAAAGGTTGTGTGGAATGGCTGTAGTACAAAAGTAAGCTATTGTTTCCTAGTACAGCTGGAAACTAGCTGTAACTAATATTCCCAGAATAGAACAAGGAGCTATGGGTAACTTCTGGGTAAGTAGCTTTGTAGTATGAGCTTCCTATTATGGTAGGAGTTATTCCCTCTAGCACAACTTGTGCTGAAGGATAGCTGTCTGTTAAGTCTTGTTTGGATTTCCCTCCATATTTTGATAATTATGGTAGAATATATTTAACTTGTAGTTCCATATATTATATGGACAGAGAGTCTGCCCTGGTTAATGGCTGGTACAGAAATTATATGCGCACGCGTGCACACACACACAGACTTCACATGCAAGTAAAAGGTCCTCCAAATAAATTATGTGAATGTGAACTGGCATCCTGAAGGAACTTATATGTCCTGCATAGTCCATTAGGACAAACACCAAGCATTTGCAAAGGCAACCTGTGACTCTCTCTGCATCAACTGCTCAAAGTATTGAAGGACCTTGACATGAATATTCATGATGCTAGAGCATGGGTTCTCAAACTACGGCCCGCAAGCCGGATCCGGCCTGCTATACCCATTTATCCAGCCCACCTCAGAGATTTTGGACTCGCTGCATGCACGCCCAGTGGCGGCTTGCTCACAAGGAGATCGTCTTGGACTCACTCGGAGAAAGCAATCTCTGTGTGTGTCCGCCCCAGCCTCACCGCACGTGCGCCTGCGCCCCCTCCCGCACTCGCACCGCCTTAGCGGCCAACGCCCATCACAGGCACCTTTATAGGTTTAACACAGAAACAAAGCAAGTCAGAAGGGGCCTCCTGAGCCATCTAGTCTGACCCCTGGCTCCATCCCCAACAGGTGGTTGTCCAATCTTCATTTACTGCAAACTTCCCATAGAATGTGTTACTAGGAAATACATACACATATTGCAAGTAAGCAAGTAAGTTACACAGAGACTAGATAGTAAAAGGTGAGGTCAGAGTCCCAGCTCCAACCTCAGAAATTCAAAATGAAAGGCAAAATATATTGGATGAAATCTCATAGCTATGGCAGGTTTTTATAGTTTTCTAGTTAACATTGGAAGCTACTGATTTAGGGAGTCACACATTTAAAGTATAGGAGAGCAGCACTCCCTTTAGGAACAATATTTACAGTAGCCTAGTACCATGAGAGCTACAGCAGCACCACATTCTTTTATGACCCACAGGGACAGTATGAGAAATGACTTAGTAGAAGCCCACTTTGTGGATCCTTCCCAGGCTAGAATTAATCCAGTTTTTTAGAAATAGCATGGGCAGGAGCTCTAAAACAGGCTCCTTCTGTGTGGCCTAGGATGTCTCTAGATACCCTGCTGATCCATGTCAGGCAAGCTCTGCTGTGACTCCTGCACCAGCGCACTAATGTACTAAGCCTAAATAATTATAGAAGCTCATTTAATGTCAGTGCCTAGGAAACTTTTCCTAACTTGTTTTCATACAGCTAAGTCTGCAAACAAGGTATGCTCCAGAAGATTTTCTAGTGCAGTTCCACAAATATTATTATTTTTTTTATTTTGATATTTTAAGCTTTTCACAAAACAGAAACATCCATTAAAAGCAGTGGTAATAGTTAGACAGAATAACATACAGCACTATACACTGAGTAAATCCCTTCTTGAGTTCTAAGCATACATTTTATGGAACAGAACTGCAAACTCTCTGATTAGGAACATATATCTTTCTAAAATACTCATCTCAGACTGCTAAATCTCTACTGTAAGATATGCTTGTCCTTGTACCATTTCACTCTGCATATTGTTCTAAATATATTGTACTGAAGAATTTTAACTCTTTTTGTAAATGTTTTTAAGGCTTTGCAGTTTAGGAGGAAGGATTTTACAAATCTGTAAAAGACTGAGTTTTATTGCTACCATTCTTTTTACCAATAAAAACTGTAGCTAGTCTCCCATGGAGGTTTACTTCTTTTTCTGCCCCACCCAAGCTTTTCTCTAGGAAATTTTCTGTCAAGCCTGAATTTTTGCAGACATCTTCTGTACATGTCTAATAGCCCAATTACATCAGACTTTTAGGTACTGCTATGATACTCTAGCTGACTTTAGATTCAAGAACCTCTCAATCATATCTATTTTCAGTAGTTTTACTCCTGGAATGTTTAAGTCTTAACAACTTCTATTGTACATAGGCAATTACTTACTATTCTGTTTGCGGTGTGGGGGGGGTTGTTGTTGGGTGAATTCCATTTGGAGTGTAGCCACACTATTCATGCATTACTATCATATGCATGAGTAATAGAAGAGTTAACACAGATGCTCTAAGTGTTATAGTTTAAATCTAATATATGAGTAATATCATTCTGCTACAACATACCTCATTGCCACATTGCTGCCATCAATAACTATTGGTCTCAGGTTATCACCATCCACTGGCACATCCTCCTGAAGGGGAGAGTCAGATCTCTGAGACTCGACCGAAGATGCTTCTCGCATTATGCTGGTGTGAATGATACTTACACTTTGATCTGTCTCAGTTTTATTTCCAAGTTTGACAAGTTCTCCTAATATATCATTGATTAAAGCATCAGTACCAAGCTTAGTCAGAACAAGCTGAACCTGTTCTTCAGAGTAACCTAATTTAAGTGCAAACTCCAGTTTAGTTTGATATTCTTTCACCACATCAGGAGGCTTCTTAATTTCTTTAGATGCTATCTGAGCTTCCTCCAGTTTAAGGTCTTGCAAAATTTCATTACGCTTCAATATATGTGGTTCTAAGCAAGGAGACCTGCACAGCTGTCTGTGTGTCTTAGGTAAGAAGCATGGTTCTGTTCCAGTTGCAGTTGGCTGTTCTGATTCATTATCAGAATTTGTGCTCTCTTCAGAATCACAACTGGAACTTGCAGTTTCTTCAGAAGTCTCCTTGTTAGCATCCTCCTTCCTAGAGTTAATTTTATCCATTGTAGGTTTCTCTACCATTGACCAAGGTGCAATTACATTTATTTGAGTCTGTGTAGTGTCCTCATAGAGGTGGCCTAGGTCATGCCCCAAATGATCTTTCAAGCCCATGAAGCTGCTGCATGTACTTGACTCCACTTTGTTGGTTTTTCTGTACTCCTGAATATAAAGTATCCTGTATTCCTAAAGAAAAAATAAGAAAATTAGAACTAGTTGGTTATGTTAAGTTTGGAACTTTTTCTGCAATTTGCTTAAGACCAAGTTTATTTCCCTTCCTAGTATCAGATGCAAACCACTATCTTAATCTGCTCAAAGTGAGACAGATCTAGCACTTAGCTGTGTTCAGAGATCAGTGTACACTTGTGTTACAGACAAATATGCATTTGTCAAGTTTCTGAAACAAGTTTTACCAAATTAATGCTGGCCTCTGACACTTGAATAGGCTTTCAACCAGATGTCAAGTCCCCAATCCAACAAAACCTTTTACCATTTCTACAATGGGAAAGCTTGCTTAATAGTGATTTACTTATATACTTTGAATCATCAGTACTCATAATACAAACATAACACAGACTATATCATAAGAGGAAGAGCTAAATTTACTAAAGCCATACACTGCTATAGTACAGCAGAAATGTCTAAATATCTATTTACAATTAAAATATGAATTTTCTGACAAATATTTAATGGCCATCATGAAATTTGAAATACATGATACACAATTGGCACAAGTTTACAATAGTTGCTCAAATTATTAACAGAGTATGACATGCTACATTCCTCTATCAGAAACAAACAGCTATGAACTTTTCATTTTTGCAATATTTATCACATTCTTTAAGCATTCTGATACAGTTGTAAATTCAGCCCACTTGTACCATCTAGGCAAGACTCCCTCTCAGTTGCAAAATCAGGGAGTTCATCAATGACTTCTCTTTAGTTTCCATGGAACCTTTGCACCCAGTCTGTCCCATGTACTCCTGCATCATCCGTCCTCAGAAATTAGAGCACAGAGCTCCAAAAGCAGACAGCAGGCAAATACAAGGGCATGGTACCTATTGTTCACCTATTTCCAGATGTTGCAAGCCACAAAGCATTGAAAGAGGCCACATGTTACATAGAAAGATTTATAAAAGCCATCATTTGTTCACCATTCTGGTTTTGTTCTTGGAATTCTGACATAATTGCCACTGTACTGCCAGAAAAATAATATTATCGTATGTTTTTAGATGTTGATTGTAACACCATGAGCAGCACAAAAATTACCATTGTCAGCTAGTGGCCATATTTGCAATTAAAATTAACTCAGTGGTTGTAAATGCTGAACCTCTCCAACTGCTGTTGTGCAATCATTTATTTCAAGGGGGTGGTTCACATAAAGCTTCAACTTTGTACACACAAAAGAAGGGAACAGAACTGAGCCCACCCAGATACTGGAAAGCCAGCTCACCACCATGCCCACTTGATAGGCAAACAATATCCATTGTGTAGATAAAGTCTATGCATGCTGGTTGCTTTTAAAAAGTCCTGCCCCCTTAAAAGTGCAAAGCCATTTAGTGTGCATGTTTCGATAGGAAAAAAAAAGTCCTGCAAAGTCTCCATGTTAGCTGGATAATGGTAAGAGTTGTAGAACTTTTTTGTTTAGTTTAGAAACATGTAAAGGATTGCACCCTATGTGTCTAAACAACTATATAAAAAAAAGAGAACACTGAAGCAAACTGATCCCAATTGACTGAAATGGCAATCATCACACTGAAGAAAGTCCTGGCTTGGTGACTACTCTTCCGGACAAGAACCACTATGTATACATGCTCTTTTTCTTTCTCTCTTTTTCCTGTGCTGGAACCCTCTATCCAGCACTACATAGATGTAGTAGATTAATGGAGCAGAGAGAAAGCAACTTATTCCAGACAGCCTGTTTTAACAGAGCTTTTGCAAGATCTCTGCACCGTGAATTAGGGCTAACAGACACAAATTAATTAATTATACTATCCAATAGCTAAACTCTGGTAATTCATAATATATAGTTTATTTTAGAAACAGAGAATTAAGTTGTTATCTAAAATGGATTTTAAACCGTTCATTAAAAATTTAGATTCATAGTTCATCCTATTCTGAAGAATGAAGGTGGACAGCAGCAGTTTTAAATTTACTGAACACTTTTGTTCACAACGAATCAAAATCTTTTGGTTAGAGCCAGACTTAGTCATATCCCCTGAAATCAATGGGACTTAATTATTTGTGACTAACCTAAATCCCATTGTATTAAATAGGTCTACTCAAAGAATGGGCAAGTTTGGCTCTAACACTGAGGGTGGGGCAGGGATCCAAACAGACAGTAATTAAAACAATGAAAGTACAGGAGAGGAAGAAGAATTTATTTGAAATGATTGTTATGGGCATACGATTTTAAATTGTTTTACTTGTTTGCCAAGTGGGAAGAGTGTCAGAGGGCAACTAATAAATGTAAGAGATACAAGTTAAAACAAACAAGATGCTTAATTCATTCCCATTTAGTAATTCTTATCCTTAATATTGCTGTTTCCTCTCCTGTCATACCTGGCTCCTTGCCCAGTTTTTAAAAACAAGTTTTCAAAGTTGCATAGTGTTAGACAATCATTGTCTCATTCTGTACCTTGTTTGTGGTATGCCTAATCTAAATCTCTTGTTCATTTTCTTGGAATCCCCAGTTGTGTTTAAACAATGTCCAATTTTAAAAATGGCTATTAAAAAGATACCGATTTTAATAACAATAAGACCTAACAGACCTGACTTTATAAAAATAGCAATCTTTAGGTTCATTCAAACAATGCTGCAGTTCAAATATATGGTGAATGCAGGAAGTAAAGCTGAACAACATGGTGATTTACTAACTGCTGTAATTCACTCGTACCCATTGCCAGTAAGAAATCACAACAGTATCCTAATAAAAGAATACAGTTCAAACCCACACTTTGGCGGCCTTCATAAAACTACCACCAAAAAGTATCTTAAACAAGAAAAACCTATGGAAAGCTATGTTGCTAAGCAACCAGCCTTTCGTTGCTAGGATGCGTTCCTTTAACAAGCTATCATGAATGCTAGCAGAGTGCAAGAATAATTTGGTATGAACAAAGCCTATGAAAAAAGACGGGGACTTAAGTGTGTCTGGTATACCCTTGGAGAACAATGCAGCTGCCAAACCAATCTGGAAGCTCCGACATCATTGTTCTACAAACCCTGCAATCTGCTCTGACTTGAGGAAGTATTTTAATGGGTAACACTTTTAACTACATTGAAAAGTTTAGGCTGGCTCAACTATTGCATTAGGAATACACTGAGATGACAAGTCACTCACTAATCCATGCAACATAAAATACTGCCTTGGCACTTAATATATTGCTATCTGGAAACTACCACCATTGATTTCAGTTGTATTTACTTCCATGTAATACATTTCTGATTGTGGTGTCAGTATATTGTTTGGACTAGAACAGAGGTAAGAAAGATGTAAACCAGAGAAGCAAGCACTAGAAATATCTTTTTGCTTGATTGATTCAATGTACAGCTACCTTATAAAAGAAAGTGTGACTATTAAATAAAGAAAAATACATGGCACATACAAATTAGTCAATGTGTAAAAGTCACAGAGTTCCAGCTAGATGTTATAAGAGGATCTTCATAATTAGAATCACAAACACACAAATTAAATTCAGCTCAAGCACACTAATACATTTTACAAAAGAACTGTTTTACACAAAAAGCATGAATTCTAATCAAAAACATATTTGGCAAAAACTCACTGATTATGATAAATTTTATTGAAAAATATATATTTGGAATAAGACAGTTATATCATCTCAACATTCTCTAGAAGAAATTGTCATCATTTATAGTTACCAAGATGGGGAAAGCATAGTACTTTATAAAAGTAAGTAGTTAATCAGTATAGCAAAATCATATGCACAATTGTTCAGATCCACTGAATTCAGTGGGATTTACTGGGGGGTAAGCTTATCTAGGCTTACAGCCAGGGTAAGCTGGTTATCTGTAAAACATGACACCACTTTAACATTTGCAAGAGTATATTCTACATCTCTATATTGTGTTTTTAATGAGTCATGGCTGGATATTTGAACAAAAATGTGCAACCACAGTTCCATGAGATGTCAAGTTCTGGAAATACCATTTGATGCCCTATACAGTATAAATAAATGACACCCCATTCCCTTCTAAGGGGGCAACCCTATATATGTTTAGATGGAAAAAAGTCCTACAACTCCCAGCCCTTCCCTGCCATTAAACTGAAAATATTAGGCACTCCTCCTTAAGCATGCAGGCCTTACTAAAATCCTGACTTGAATGTACACTGATGTACAGTAAATGTGCAACTTAAATGGGCAACTGGACTGAAATATTATCTTTTATTTAAATATTTTCATACTGAACAGGAAAGAAACATTTAATGCACTTGTTAGGATATAATCTTGGCAAGTAAGTCTATGGAAATGTGTGCCAGAACTACCTGGCCCATTTCATCCAGTGCACTCTAGCATTATTAGTAATTCATTCCACTATAGCATCAATGTTAATAATTTAATGGATTTATTTTAAATGAAATGCTTTACTGGGGGATGAAGAAATCACACAAGCTTTAAAATATGGTTAAGATTAGAATGTGGCAAGTGTTATAAGTGCCCAAGATATTGTAAACAAAGCAAATGAAAATAATGAATATGCAATAAATATCTATTGCAGAACTTTTTTTGTATTTAATTACCATTGTATTTCAGAGAGTGATGCAGACAGCAGCCCTCCATCTAACAAAGGAAAGATGTCCCATTGAACAGATTGGTTAATGCTCTGGGGCAACAGATGTCTACTGGAACTGCAGGAGACCAGCAACTGGTGGCCTGCCCATCTTCTGAAAACTTTCAATAGACTTATGCATATGTTCACACAATAGGGCATGTGGCAGAAATGCAAACCTCTTTTTAACCCTTTCATATGGCTCCCCTTCCTTCCAACTAATACAAGAACATCTTCACCCATCTCTTTAGGGGAACTCTGGCACTGGCTCAAAAAATAAAGTGTTAAGTATTGCTTATCCAAATGCCTGAACTGATCATAGAAATGGTAATTCAAAAGAATTCAACACACACCTACATATATAAAATACATAAATACTATGTATACACATGCACCATACATACATATACGCACGTACATACATGTAAGTTTATACCTATGCCCATATGTTTACACATGCATGCATGCATGCACACACAAACACAGATTTGAGAACACCAAGATCACCAACTTAAATGGCAAAAAAATACTTTGATTTTAATGGAGCTAGACTGAATCTGGCAATGCACATTATGTAGTCACATGAAGTTCAATCCATCACTTACATACAGACAACTGAAGTTCTTCCCAGACTTATAGCTGCTCATTTTACCAAACAAGATTAATATTCTTCTAGGTCTGTTAAATGCTGAATATTAGCTTGCCAAATATATATACTGAGTTATGAAAAATTCCCAATGAGCATTAGCTGTTTCCAAGCTTATGGCAATGTATCATTCCTCTCACATTTCTCATTAAATGTATTAAAATTAAGCAACACATTTTAAGGAGAAGGGAGACTGCATTTTTTAGTTAAAAAACAAACAAACCAGATCTTAGCATGTATTTTGCTCTTTTTATTTGGGATGAAGAACAACCACCCAGTAGGTCAAAAAAGTAAAAATGGTCAATCCTTGGCAAAGGCAAGTCCAAATACTTACGTTAACTGGAAAGTGCACAGATACTAGTTTTTTCGAACAATTCCAGAAGCAACTCCTTAATACAATTTCAGCTGCAAACTTCCAGGCAGGCAAGCAGAACAATGAATGGATGTCCAGATGGAATAGCAATGTCTTTGCTTAACCTATTACTGAGCAGAACAACAACCAATCACAGGCCAGAAAGGGCTCACAATTAGTTGGTCAGGCATATGCAAGGCAACCTCCCCACCCTGTGTCAGGTTTGTAGGTTTCTAAGAGAAGCAAGTTGATGTCATTCTCAGGGTCTGCCCCGGGCAGCATGTGTATTAACGAGGGGTGTGCAGCAACAATAGGCCATACAAAAGAGACTAGCAGGCAGCTGCTGTATGAGAGCCAGAGTCATTAGAGAGCAGGCTGCCAACAAGAAACACCTGGCCTGGGCAGACTTCAGCTTTTCCTCATTGTTTCTAATTCATGAAACAAAGAAAGGGAATTATTTTTGAGTACTAAAGGTTGCAAGGTTCTACCAGAAGAACTCAAAACAAAAGACACAGCTCACTCCTTCACAAAGAACATTTCACTTCTATTGCAACAATGGTGGAACAGTGGCATAATCATACCTGTACTCTTCTCCAGCTTCAGAAAGTAAAATTGAATTGAGACAGTGAGAAAACTGTTTAGTAGAATCCATATTACTTGCCAAATTACTTACCAAAGTATTTTATTTCCTGAATCATTTGTTTAAGTACTTTCTAAAAAACCCACACTCCTTCTGCTCATAGATTATAATGTGCATTAGGCTATATGCATTCAAGTAGCAATGGAACCAGGAAGTGACAGATGACAACTGGGAGGCTAGTGCCACTTTTAGAAATCACTTAATTGGGAAATGTCTGATAACATGTGCAAACAAATCAAGAAACCTGGAGTAGAAGGAGGAACAGTTGATAATGCTTGCTCACTGGGTTTCATAACATTTAACAAGCTTTTAAAGAGAAAACATTATTATATGGATTTATTATTCATTGCTGTCTCATGGTTGCATGCTGTCTTGATAATAAGAAATAGTCAAGCCTATTTTCACCCTTTCTATAATGCACAAACAGAACGGCATTCAGTCTATAGTGACAATATCAATCTCGAGTAAGTACAGCAATTCCTCTAAGATGATTTCCATTCAAAGGGCAATATCCAATATTGTCACTGCAGCATCACTTGTTCTTTTGCATCCACAGGGCAACCATTACTGCAACAGGAAGCTAAAACTTCCTAAAGCAACTCTTGGAATGTGCAGAAACAACAGATTCTCGACCAGACCAGGTCAGCCAGATCCAGATCCACCCTCTTTAAGAAATGAGTATTTCAGCTTGCATCCAGTTGCTTCAGTAACCACTAATTTTTGTTGCACTCATGATGGTTTCTACCACTACAGGAACAGCATGGGATACTGCTAAAAAAACAAACAAACAAGCCTATCATTTTAACAGGATACCCTCTTGTATTGGACTTAGGGAAACTGAAGTACATTAAATAATATCCTCCATTGTTCCATACACATATAAATTCTGAATACTGGCACTGTACAAAAATGACTATTTGTCTATTTCTGTACTTCTACAGGGAAATATGGAGTAAGATTTTTTTTATAAAGAGAAAATGAAGAGTTTATTGTGAGGATTATTAGAATCTGTTCATTGTTGAATCACAGAACATTTCAAATTAAAACAAAAAGAGCTGATGCTGTATAATGCAGTAGATTAGAATATGTATCTTTTTCCAGGTGCCTCTATTTTAACATCTTAAACCAAGAGAAGAATCTAACTCTACACACTGTAGCACCTAATCCTTTTGATAATGGTGCTGGCAGCAAGAAAATTTACAAAGATGAAAATAAACCAACCACACAAATAGATTCACAAAAATCCCACCCATATTCTGAGACTGTCATGGCTGTTTTGAGGCTTTCAATCAGAAACATGCAGAGCCCCTCCTTCATTTCTGCCACTGTGAACACAAAGAATCAGAGAAAACTACCTCAAACCACAGCAGGAAGCCTGATCTCCAGCACTGGATTAAGCTTCTTTGCAAACAGCAAATAAAGGCAGTGATCTGAAAAAGCTAATCAGTCCCTGCTGTGGTATTTAGACTACCTCGGTTACTGGTATTGGATAATGTTAAGCGCATTAAAAACATCTGTAGGTGAAATGAGGGATCCCAGTCTGTTTTACCCTGGTTTAGTCCTTATGAAACTATTGTTATGGTTCTTTCTAGGTATTTTTCATATCACTGTAGCATTATTTATTTTGGAAAGAGAAAGATAGCTAAACAACAAACATAATGCCAATGAGAAAGACATAGTTGAGTAAACTAAATACAAAGTTAATTGATTATTTCTTTCTTTTGCAGCTTAGATGGAAATATCTATCTGCACACACACTTTGTCTGTGCTATGTCTATATGCACCTATTTCACTGTGTACATATTGCATCTGACAGGCTGGGCTCTAGCTCACAAAACTGTTGCTTCATATTATTGTTTTACTCTTTTAGTTTTGTAATATGCCTAGAGAAAGCGTGTTACCAGGTAGATTGAAAAATATATAAAAATAAAGTTGATTTCACTATAAATATACTCTTTTTAAAAAATTGTCATAGAATATTATTTGGAACTTATTAGCCCTTTACAAACAAGTAGAATTATATTTAAATAACTGAAAATGGATGTCACACAACTCTGATAATAATCCAGGATTTGAATCCTAAAAGTACTTAAGTTACAGGGTTCAAATTGCTTGGTTTGAAGGCCATTCCTCCCAGTGTCCATGGGGATGATCTACTAAGGAAAGTTAGTGCAGAAACAGCAATCCCATCCTCCAATGTCCTACTACTCTCACCCCAACTAAGTTTACTTTGTGCAATTAAGGTAGTACAGGACAGGGCCTTGCAGGTCTCATCACCAAGGTAGAAACATTCTTCTGAGCATGCTTTGCTACTGTGACAGATGACAACTGTGGTTTCCATAAGAACATAGGTCAGACTATTTTTCCACATGGACCACTCTGGCAGTGGGGCTCATGTAGAATTTGTCTGCATCACCTACTGTGTGTTCCCTTTTAACTTAAAATGCTAGAGTCTGTACCTGGAACAATACGCATGCAAAACATGTCTTCTGTCACTGACCCATGATCTGGTGCCAATTCACTGAATGCTGGGAGATGCTGGAAACTATAATTCCCATATAATCCAGAAGTAATGAACACCTGAGTGTCCTTATGAAGGCTCAGGACTTAATAATGGGATTTACAAAGTCTCTGCTATGGGCAACCATTATTCCAATTATTTATTCTGGTTTTCTTATAAATTTCTTATGTAACTGGTTGGCATGAATCCAGCTTATAATGGACCCAAGAATGCCAAACTAAGGGAGTCAGTTTCTGAATCCATTCAAGTTTCAAAATTCATAATTTACATATCATTCTAGAAGGAACAGTTTGTAGCTGCAACTGCACATCTTTCACAGTATAGCACCAATATATTCAATTTATATTAGCAAGTGGTCAAGTAAAACATTGCAATCTCTAAAGATAGATAGAAGATTGAACATGTGTCTAAACATTTAGACATAATTTCCTACCTCATGCACAAATTTCTCCTCCCTCCCTTTGTTTCCAATAACCTATAACTATTAACTATAGTTTGTTGTAGCAATAGGGAAAACTATGTTTAGCATTAACTAGGACTGCCTCCATACTATGGTTTCAATCCTACCAAACCATGCTTGGAAGGTAATTCTTGGTTATTACTCTTTAGTTTATTTAATGTTTTAATGGCAAATGTTGGAAGCAAGGTAGAAGCTGCATGAGGAAAATTATGTGAGAACTGAGGAAGATTAAGTGCCTATATCACATTCCTGATCCCCCAAACATGATTTTGAGATGACATTTTAACATCTCAACTATGTCTGCACAGAATTTAAAATCAACACATGTACGCATATGATAAAGATCCAAAACCAAAATATTATAGTGTATACAGATCTCTCTTGACAGTTTTCTTTCAATAATTTCTACATTGCTCCTAGAATGACCTGGACATTGTCTAAGTTTAGAAAATTACCCGAATTATTGTTTTAAATGTCAGGACAATCTCATTGTCAGAAAAGCATTCATTTTCAGTTTTTAACTAGTACACTACATTTCTTAGAGGAAAAGTAAATACCAAGAAAGGAACCTAAGCAGGCATTAATGCAGGTGTCTTTCATATTGGTGATAAGGTATAATGATATCTCTAGCAACTACAAAGAACAGATGAACAAAAAAGCTCTAGTTCTAGACCAAAGCCTTCAGATACTAGACTATGCACTCTAGCCATTATCCATTGCTATATTTAAAACAGAATGCTGAAATTTAAGAGGTTGTGATAGATAATTAAAAACATAACCTGCAGAGTTGATCTCTACATTGCAGCTCTCCACCTTGAGAGGCCAGATACTGACCTTAGTTCCAGCAACACAAGAGCAACACCAGTAATATGTTTCAGAGTTCTCCACTGATTATCTTCAGAAAAGGCTAAAGTGGATTCTAATATTCCATATAAGAATTATTCAGTGGCTTAGTCCAAGGTTGATCTAATCCAGTATTTTTGTCTCCAGGAACTGGTCTATGAAGCAGTACATACAAGTGGTGGCAATTTTCTGCTGATTGTCTGATTTAAAAGGTACTATGCTTAAAAGATTTCATTTTTAGCTAACATAGCTAGTAGCTGGGGTATGCAATGAATTTGGATGAAGTCAGAGCTCAAGTGAAATTGGGCCACTTTGGTCAGTTCTGTTGTCTCCCAAGGTGAAGCAAGCTTCCCCAAAGTCGACTATGAAATGAACCTGCTTCAAAAGGAGGCTTTATTTGCAGCATGTGTTTTGGATATAATACGCACCCACAGACTTTGTTTCCAAACAATACCTTTTGTATGTCATTTCTCTAAACACAGCAGTGGAAGGAGGCACTGCAGATGATTCACTGGCAGGTGCATCTTCTAATCTTAGGGCATTGTTTTAGCACTGGTTCCAATCACTGTGTTTTGGGAAAAGCCAAGGATGGGACTTGAGAGTGCTTTTATGCCATCATGCTTCATTAAAAAAAAAAGCCTTAAACTGATTTTGATGCATCATAGCT